TCTCTCTCTCTCTCTCTCTCTCTCTCTCTCTCTCTCTCTCTCTCTCTCTCTCTCTCTCTCTCTCTCTTTTTCTTCTCCCAGTCCCATCCCTCTCTCTTCTCTATCTGCCCTTATTACACTTCCTTCTCCCTCTCTTCCAGCTAGTTTCTCACACAGTATTCACTGCGTGAAAGGTGTATCAGTCCGATTGGTGGGTTGAAAAATTGAGATAGTTATTCCCTGAAATCAAACACCGACCATAAATTACGTCATTGATCGGGCAATACAAGGGTCGATGCACCGAAAGCCCAAAAAGGTTTTTCATGAGATATGGATTTGAGAAACTTTCGCCGAAATCGCCAAAAACAAACAATCGCCAAAAACAAACAATCGCCAAAAACAAACAATCGCCAAAAACAAACAATCGCCAAAAACAAACAATCGCCAAAAACAAACAATCGCCAAAAACAAACAATCGCCAAAAACAAACAATCGCCAAAAACAAACAATCGCAAAAACAAACAATCGCCAAAAACAAACAATCGCCAAAAACAAACAATCGCCAAAAACTATTTCAGTAAGGATAACCAAATTACACCCTGTTTCAATTGTTTGTTGTGAAGGTTTTCGGACACTGTATAGGGATATATTCTGATTAGAATGGTGGTATTTTTTGCTCCCATTCTCCCATAGCGCAACCAATAGACTCAAACTATGATATGATTCCTGCTTTCTAAATGATGCCTGCAACACACAGGCTAAGCGTCGAGACATGGCTATACAACCACATTGATCATTTCAGATGTTGAATCAAGATAACCGTTATTCATGCACGCTTTGCATTTGAAAAAAACATTTATCATCCGATCAAGTCTATAATCACATTAAAGAAAACATCATTTGATACACGGATACTACGTATTCTACGCATTGAACTCAGATAATAGAAACCTCCCGACAATTTGAGAGCAAAGTAACTTAGAAGGAAATTAATCTTCCCACGTAGCACAAAAATGCGAACAGAGAATTGAAATATCCGTGTTATAATTATATTAAATAGAAAAGACTAATTAATCCTGATTTTTGAACTCTGTCTTTTTTAATAGTAGCGCAAAAGAAATATTCTTTGAATCGCTTTTGAAAACTTAATTTCCATTAAATTTTTCGATGTATTGAACTCTTAATTATGTGAATTTTGTGTAATTTAAAGAGTGTAAAACAAAAATTTAATTTAATTCATCATTATTGCAACAAAATGTTTGTAGGGAATGGTATCAATATTTTAATAAAGACATGTTTATGTTTGATATTGATATTTTACATACGCAAGATTTTTAAGTTTTCAATAACTTATTTTGTGGCTCTGTTTCTCCGCTTCTCCGCTTCTCCGCTTCTCTGCTTGGGTTTCAATTTTCGCAAGTGAAATTCTTTGCCTCTGGTACCCAGGGTATTGAACAACCCTCAGGCTGATCCAAATCTAAACTCTCTTGAAAACTGAGGACGAGGAATTTTGGGTAAGTTGTAATATTTTGACAAAATATCTGATGATGTAATTCTATAAGTTTTACTAAACTTTCCCAGTTAGCACATGTTGGCGTTTCCTGTTGTTGATATAAAAGATAGTAGCTGATGAAAACAAATAGAAAAGGTGTTATCATATACTGAAATTCAGATATAAGTTGACAAGTAAATACATGCATCAATTCGAAAGCAGTAGTTCTTGAATAACGGTTTAGAAACGTAGATGATGTTACCAAAAATGACGACGAAAATTCTAAGCTAATGACGTCAGCAAACATGGAAACTTCCGGTCAAAGGTTCTAGTGGCCCAATGTGGCCTACAAATCTCCGTTGTTGATTTAGCAAAACCGTAAGGAAACCGAAGTCGAAAATTTACAGCTATTTTGGAAAAAACTTTAGAAATAGGTAGACACGGTTGATTGACATATGAATAGATTACACCAGGCCACGCTTTTTCATTTTTTTTCATTCCGATTCCGGAAACAAGGATGAAAAATGTTTTGAGCCAATCAGACTGTTTGTTTACAATTTGAACCAGCCAATGGTATAGCGTCAAAGACAATAGAAATCTGGAGAGAAAATAGCATCGAATCAGCCGCAACAGTAACGCTCGCACCTCCTATACAAAGCTGTGGGGAAAAACCGGCGCCACAAAAAGTTAACGCTGAACGCGAAAATTGTCATTATTGAAGTGCTTCATACAATTATGCATAGCAAAGGAGTATATCTAAAACTTTGCCGTCCCCATTTTTGAAATTCGGTCGTTAACCAGAGATAAGCGATGAAACGTTTAGCCCATTATTGCCTTGATTGAATCTGCTTACGTTGGTTATGGTTGGTTGTACTCCAAGAAAACGGCATCATGTCATTTTATTGAAAAACAGGTCATTTTGAAATCTTTTTACAGGTCGTTGATAAAATTTAAGCAAAAAATAAACCTTGAAAAATTGTGCACATTTTACTTGTTATTTCAAAAATTGCTTGTTTAAAAATTTGTAAAGTAAAATTTGAAACCTCTGCATGACCTGCAAAAGTTTGAATCAAACCTTCAACTGAAAAAGCTATTGAGATATAACAAGCTACATTTTTTGAGTTCTCATTATCTTATTGGAATACAACGATCAGGGTCATTATTGAGCTTATATTTTGTAAAGTGGTACATTCTCCAACTCTTTTTAATGAAACTTTGCAAAAATATTTGAATATATTGACATGCAAAGTTGGGAAACCTTGAACCTTTCACTCAACAAAGACGCTCTACATTTTACAGTAAAGAAGAATACAATTCTTGAACCCTCAAGCACTTCGTAAGTACTTCTGAGTTTTTTCTTAAATGAATCCGTACTTAAGTCACTAAAAAAACCAGGGGATTTATTTCAGTGGAGACAGATAGCGTGGGCCGTTGCGTGCTAACGTTTTGAAGCCTTTATAACAATTCGTGTCCAGAAAATTCGTTGACAAATCGTCCTAAAAAACTTTGCCATGAGAAGAACCATCACTTGCACCTACAAAAATACCAAAATCAGGAATAGGCATATGATTTTGGAATAAATATTTGCAACAATGCCGCTATTTTCTCAAGATATGCATTTCTTCTATACGCAACACTCTAGAACGCACTCAATGAAAGAAAGTTGACGGACTGTCTTAGGGTTAAGAACATGCAAGAAAAAGGCAGAATGAAGAAAAAAAACCCGAGTTTGATAATTATCTCTCCGTCTTACTTTAGAATATACGACGTACATACTTTGTAAGTAAAAAATGACCTGTTTTTCAATAAAATGACATGATGCCGTTTTCTTGGAGTACAACCAACCATAACCAATGTAAGCAGATTCAATCAGGGCAATAATGGGCTAAACGTTTCATCGCTTATCTCTGGTTAACGACCGAATTTCAAAAATGGGGACGGCAAAGTTTTAGATATACTCCTTTGCTATGCATAATTGTATGAAGCACTTCAATAATGACAATTTTCGCGTTCAGCGTTAACTTTTTGTGGCGCCGGTTTTTCCCCACAGCTTTGTATAGGAGGTGCGAGCGTTACAGTTGCGGCTGATTCGATGCTATTTTCTCTTCAGATTTCTATTGTCTTTGACGCTATACCATTGGCTGGTTCAAATTGTAAACAAACAGTCTGATTGGCTCAAAACATTTTTCATCCTTGTTGATTCCGGACTTTTCTTGGTCCCGGTTTATTCAGTAACAAAATTCCACTCGCTTGCGTTCTGGTGATAAGATGGTCTACGTAACTACCAGTTTACGTAAATCTATTGTTGAAAAGTAAGCAGCATTCACACAGTACTCTCAAAAATAACAACCCTTCGTCTTGCCTTCAACGTTCGATGCGGTTCAACCAGAGCATTTTCAGGAACTAATTCGTTGTCATCTTTTTTTCTTGATGGCTCAGAATTTGATCGTTCTCTTCCAGATTCAAGCTTTTCGTATCCCCGCTTTTTCCAAAACAATTTAGCTGGACCATCAGTCGTGTCGAATATTCCCTGGTCCTCGGGGCCTTTGTGATCTACCAGTCGAACAATGAGGTCGGTCATATCAGGCTCACTATGCGTTATCCTTTCCATGGCAAGGGGTATTAATATATCAAACTTCTGCAACGATTTTAAGGTTTGCCAAAGAACATTTCTACAGTACAGGGCAAGCTGAAGATCAGAAGAAGCCTATTCCTTGTAACAGTCTTGACAGCACACAATTCAAAACAAATGTAAGACTTGACAGCCAGCAAAGGTGTTCTTTCGCAGTATCAGGAAAGGTTTGAAGCCGTTACAAAATCTTCCAGTCCTTAGCCTTCAAGGCGATTTTATTCACGTTGGCGAACACAATTGAAATGTTAAACCAAATAAAAGCCAGCCAAATAAACAGAATGTAGACAAGCTGATCGCACGAACCAAGGTTGTCGCACGAACGAGATCACATGAAATTTGATGACAAGCTCGTGCTATTGTACACAGGATTACCTGCTGAGTGCAAATAGCAACCGAGAACCAGACCAAACGCCCAGCCATCAATTTCTATATAAACGTTTGTAAACATTTTTTTTGAATTCGCTTGCAAATAGATACCCTTTATTAAAATTGGACTAGGTTGGCTCGACCAAATTTACCAGGAAAATTTGGGAAATTTTTCTTGTTTGTCTAGAAAAGACATGTGCAGTGCAGACTTATATTTCCTCAAAGGAGGGGGGTGGCTTTCTCCAGTGATGACGTCACAAAGGTATACACATAATCCGAAAGAGCATCATGAATATCTTTACAATATCTTTGTTTAAACAATTTGAACTTTTTCGTACGCGTCATGTTGAATTTCATGAGCATGTGCAGGATACCCGATGAGTGCATTGGTTAGCTGTTATTCATTCTCTATTATTGTGCAAGTTCAGCAAAATAGTGAAATTTGAAACCGAAAGACACGTTCGACATTGAAATTTTGCAAAAAAATTCTGAATAGATTAAAGTTTTGTGAAATGTAGCTACGGTCTTTTATCTTATGATTAAATTACCACTTATGCAAGAAACATAAGTTTGGTTCATGGGTTTATTCGCAGAATCGTATGGGAAGACAACACAATAGTTTGACAGCTATGAATGTATTCAGGGCCGTCGCGAGGCAAGCCTTGTTGGGGGGGGGGGTGTTTCATTTTAAAATGATAACAACGGACTTTCCTAATAGTTGTTGCCAAATCGGTAAACTGGGACGGCAAAGGTTATAACTACTCGAGGCGGCACCATGGTTGCTGCCGAAGGACTAGAAAATTTTCGAAATTTGATGCTTCTATTTCCCTGGAAAATGCACTCTTTTAAGCAAATTTCACTAAAGCAATCCTCCTTATCCTATCGAAAATTCTTTTATTTTTTCAAACAAATTGAACAGCAGATAAAAACAACTGGTACAATTTCGCCGTGGTCTTAAAAATTCCATTAATCTATGAAGCTAGGTAACAAGCAGAACTGGTTGCCAATTTAGATCCCTCTTTCCATCTTAGCATGCCTTTTGAATGTTAAAAAAAACTGGAGCTCATTGTGAATTGCAGTTGACGCTTCTACCGAGAAACTTTAGGAGAAATGGACACAAGGGACAATTTTACCTAAAGTGGGCCTGGGTTTTTAGATTTTGTGCCAACAAGAAATCTTCAAATCTTCAAATCATTCGCTTGTTTATCTTCATTCATATCAAGAAATATCATATTTAACCAAAATAGCAACTATGTGTGACACCCCCCCCCACACACACACACACACCCCCCGGTCGCGACGCCCCTGAATGTATTTCTAATCGCTGATTATGTTCAAATTGGTTGAAACATAGCTATATACACACAGGCTCTTCTTTCATCAAATGTGATTTGGTTTTTGTCTTTAACTTTTGAACTACACGCCAAAAATCAGTTATCAGTTAGCACAATGTAGCAAATAAAGAACACCACAACCCGCCAAGAACGTTGATATTAACGTTTAACAAGTTGTTGTAGCAGTAATTCTAGTTATGTTAATGTTGTAATTAGGTCAGAGGCTACCTTGGCCTAGATACTATTTTGATAAAAAAAAAAAACAAAAAACACACATAAATTAACCATGTTTGATAGCAGGGTGGAAATCTTTAATTGTATTTATTTCGTTAATTCTGTAACATGTGTAATTGAACTTCATGACTTTGTTTGGATTATAGTTGAAAACTAGAGATTTTTCGAAACATTTCATGGAAGCTCAATAACGTTGTTGACGTCAGAGGATAGAAGAAGGTTGATCTCCGGATTTCACGATGATTCTCTTGTGCGCTTATAATCTTCTGAGTTCAGTTTATGAATTCACTGATGCAAGCAATAAAAAATACCCGATACCTTTCACTATCATGTGATTTTTTATAGCCATGTGTTTTTTTCAGTTTTCTTGGTTTTTTAACAGCAATTTTAAAATCCTATCTACTGCAGTTCCTATGTCTCTTCTGAATCTCCTCATTCCATTTTTGCCTTTCTTCTTCTACTGAGTTCAAAAGATTTTCTCGTCCTCTATATCTGGATTTTATCACAAACTCATTCACATCTGACAGCGAAGAGCACACGTATCTTTAATCTCACTTTCGGTCCCGATTCCAAACAAGAAATGAATCAACCAATATGACAGGAAAGGACAGGGCCTTTTAGAACGACGGGCAAGGAAAGAAAATACATAATTGACAAAGACATAACAATAATGACATACCTATTACCTACACTAGAGTGAATTATTATTAAAATTATTGATAAATAAAATCTGAGTTTAAACTAGCTAAGGTTCATTTACCTCAAAGTGCCTGGTCATCAAATTTAATAATATCTATTTTTGCAATTCAAATGTTCCTCATTTTTGCAATTTCACTCACAATGTTCGCATCCGCGGATATTTCAGCAGCCACTGAATGGAAACTGGAAGAACAAAATAATAGATTTAAAAAGTTAATAAAATGTACCTTAAACTTCTGGTCTGAGTTCCCTTGATTTTAAACGTCTCAAAGCATAGCTTTTTACGGAGAGGGGAAGGGAGTATGTAGGTGCCAAAGTTTAAGTTCATTCAGGTTTTCTTAACTAGTACAACATCAAACGCAATCCCCAAAATCAGCGAGGAATGTTCCAGCAGATATTTGTACCTTCTTGTTCCAATCTAAATCTAAATTGTTCCTCTGGGTTAATTACTTCTACAAATTGAAATTTCAAGGAAAACCACCCAAGTATGATTCAAACTTGCAATTCTGATAATTTAATAAAACAAGACAAGTTTTAATTCCTTAATCTGCGAAGGGTAAACTTGAAGGATTCACAATCTAAACATTACCTTTCTTGATCAGCTGCTAATAATTCTTTGATCGCCTTTAATTCGCTGCTAGGGTGGACTTCAACCGCCTCAAAGATGTTGCAAAGGTAGTCTAGAGAGAATCATTGAATCAGTCAACGTGAATAAGAGAATCACTACAAAATCAGTGACAATAATCATTATCAAGACGCCGATCAATATAAGCGATAAATCACAGTCAATCATTCGTTAATACGGATCAAGATATTCAATTAAATGAGCACTTTACTAAAAGGAATCTCTAAAATTCAGTTAAACTACACATGTTTTAATTATTTCAACTGAATCTAGTGATATGTAAATTTGCAAAAATTAGATTAGGCAACGTTCTGTTTTAAGCTTTTCTATGAAAAAAGATAAATATGTGTGAAAATTGGATGTGAGGCATCAGTGCAAAGGAATTGCTTTCGGGTATCAAGCTTGGAATTTTTCAAAGGGTAGCCATTATAGTTTGACAGTTTCCGACCTAACTTGGTTGGTTTTACTGGAAACAGCATATTAAATTGCTTATTACGCAACCCTTTTCACATTACTGACCTGAAAAAATTAATTAATTAATGGCACACTCAAATCAAAACCGAAAACCTACAAAACTAGTGCCCAGACCTCTAGGAGAGTAACTCTTTTACAGCTTAAGTTGAGCATTAAATTGAATAAAAGAGCTTGATACGGCTTAATACCCGTTAGGCGGCACAAATTCCATTATTGGAAATGTATATTTGAATTCAAGCAATTGGGTGCTCTTTTGATTAACTCTAGTTCAATCATAAAAAACAAAAGCAGAATTAAGTCTAAATTCAATTTAAGAGAACTGAAAATTTGGGCAAAGGAAAACAAAAAAGAGCAAAGCTAAACATTTGTGCTTATTTTTTTATGTTTATGTATAAAATGTCCAAATATGCTGTATAGATGAGAAGCTACGAATCAAAGATGCAAATGAGAAAATTTCACCCACCAATGTCAGCAATAAGCTGTCGTGTTGCATTCTTCGACTTGAGCTCAACAATTTTCAAGACGTTATCAATAAAATGATCCATTGTCCCCCGAGCAAATCCAATCAACCAAAAATGATCATCTTCTTCACCCGAATCTACGTCAAAGAAAAGGCGTTGTCAATTACTTACTATTTGGAGTTGGACTACTGAGGAGAAGCAAGCCCAACATTTAAAAATCAAACAGCTTCAATGCTTGACAGAAGTTGCAATCTAAATTCTGGCGTAGCATACCTTCTCCTCCACAGAGGCTATTGTTAAGGGGGATAGAGGGTTAGAAAAGATCTTCCTCCTTCTCCCTCGCAGCTCCTCCACTTTTCCTTTTTATCCGCAGTTCCACTTATACTTCTTTCATCCCCATCACCCTCCCCAATAGCCTATGTGGTGGTCATTATGTAGAATATGTAGATAACAGCGGTTTCTTTCTCGTTGTAGCAAAACAGTTGCAACGGATCAGCTTCAATATCTGCCAATGTCATGAAATCGTTCCACACGTTCGATAAATTTATTAAAGCCATTTTATCGAACTTTCGACGAGGCATTTCGGCGAAAGGCAATTTAAAAGTTTGTAATCGACTTTGGAAGTTTTGATTACAGTAATGTCAGTTATTGTTTGCTAGCCCCAAACATAGTGTTCTAATCAATAAAATAGCCAATAACAGTCATCCGCTTAGCCAATAAAATGCCAAATGCAGAGCTGGAAATGAGATTAAACCCTATAAACGTCCAATCGAACGCACAGACGTGAGATCTAGATAATCCTACGTTTCAAAGGCGAAAAAATTCACTGTCAGTCTCATAGTAAACAGGCACGTGGAACGATTTCTAAAAGATTTGTCAAGAAGGAGGGGATTGCACACGATGCATCGTACCCAAAACAAAACATTCACGTAATTTACGTAAGAATAACGTATTTCAAGATTAAAAGTATAAAAAACCAGCAAAATTAGAGGTGGAAGTGGCCAAAGTCTCGTATTACGTTTTAGCTAAATAACACCGGATGAAATTATGAAGGGGCAATCGCAAAAGACTTAGGTAGGGGGGGGGCTGAGGTGTCGAAATCATTTATGATTCCTGTCTTTAAAGATAACAGACCATATTAGGGTTATTAATTCGACTTTTTCTAGGTCTAGCCAGACATAACGCTTTAAATGTCTTCAAAACAACACGAGCTTCTGAGGAGACGATGCATTTATACCTTGTTGATCAGTGTATGGTATCTGTCCTGCTTTTAATGCTGTTGACAAGAATGTATTATCTTGCGTAAAAAATGGCTCAAGTTGTTGCGGGAGCGTCAATAGATAGTCACCAACCTACATAACAAAAAAGTTGGATAGAAGTCACCTAATTGCAAAATCCCTAGAAAAGCTAAACAATGGGGAAGGCAAGTGATGGATTTGATGAGCAAGAATTTAAAAACTCCACTGAAGTCAACTATCACTGCAAAGTACACAGTTAAAAATCACCTATAAACCAAATTTGAAAAGTTTGAGAAAAGCAAATTTGGAAAATATAAAGCTTGAATAGAAAAAATGAAGCAATAAGAACCAATATTTTGCAGTAATAAAAATCCCTTATCACTACTAGCTAATAGGCGAATAAAGCCGGTCTGGTTAGTTTTGCTATAAAGAATCAGCATCTTAAAAATCGTAGGATGATTTAAAGGTGCTATAGAATATTTCTCAAGAGAAATTGCTCTTCGCACCTCCACGAGTCATCTGTAAAGACAGCAGTTTTATTCAAATAAAACATTGAAAAGGCAAATCAGAAAGAACAAACAAGACTTACATCGGTAATGCAACTTTGAGGTGATAAACTGAAAGTTGGCAAATCTTCAGCAAGAACTTCCCCCTCTTCAAGGTTTGTTGACCAGATCTATTTGAAAAAAGTACCAAAATATCTAATTTTCAAACATATCTTATATTAATGTATTAAAAAGTTACTTTCATTTTTCAGTTCATTTTTACTCAACTCGGTGAAAGTACAGGGACACATATTTTCATAAGAGCTTAAATCAAAAACATACAGTAGCACATTGGATTTTTTAGAGAATGTTTCCATGTACCCAAATAGCTGGTCCATTCAAAAAAGGGGATAATAACAGGTCCATAATTTACTGAGGTGGATTTTGTTCCGAAAATCATCGAGACTCACCCTTGAAACAAATCAGAGATGAGATGGCAGAAGCAAAGGATGTGTGCTTTTACCAAACCCTATAGACTAGAATATACCAAATTTTTTTTAATAAAGGCAGGATTTCAAAAGCGGAAATGATTCACACATTTATATCTTATTACCTTAAGCTTAGGAATTTCGTCGAGTTTTCGTTTCAGGTTGGCGAATACAACATCAAACGCCAATTTGTGTGCGTGTTCGTTGAGTCTCATAACCTGCTCTTGAGTTTGCGCAAGAATTGCATTTAATTCATCTGCAAGAGTTTAAGAAAAGTTTAAAATCTGAATTTCGATATTTCTGTAAGATGTATCAAAAAGGAGACAAAGTGTTTGGCATTGCAATATCTAAGTAGATGTGCTTCTAGATTTTCATACAAAAATGAACAAGACATTGTGCAATCTTACCAGTGATACAGAAAATGAATATTTCATGAAAGCCTTTTCAGTGATCATAACATATAATAAACTTTAATTTTAGTCTCATCATACATAGCAACCTCAAGCCTGCTATTGAAACTGATATATGAAATTTATCTCTGACAATATTTAGGGATAATATTTAGGGATAATATTTAGGGATAATATCCTAGTACCAACTGTACCAGCAACCCAATGAGAAAACGCTATCGGCAATTTAGTAAATTGATGAATATGTTGGTGAAGTAAAGTATTGTTGGAAAGATTGGACCAGTAATATGTATCGTAAAATTTTAACAGAACCAGACCGTTGGATAAAATTCAAAGTAACTAGCCTGTACACTAGAAAATTTCAAAAAAAATGATTAGAAAAGTAGCGATATAACATGTTGCGGAAAAAATGGGCCTAAAATACTTCCTCGAGGAATTAGCAGCTGTTGTCATAAAAAGATCGCATCAGATAATTTAAGAGAGCCCTGAAAAATTCGGGGCGAAAGAACTGGCAAAATTACATTCAAAAAAATTAAGAAAAAGTTAACGCCGATATACTCGTAATGACGATGATCATAACTTCTTAGATTTAACAGGATATGAAACTGGCGGAACCCGGCCCAGTTACCAAGGTATCTAGAAGCATTTGAATTAAATGAAGAAAAAAAGGAGAGAAAAACTGGAGAGAGAACTCACATGTATTGACTCTTTCATAAAACTCTTTCAAATCCTCGAATTGAGAGGGTGTGGAGCGTTTTACATAATGAAAAATGTTCATTAATTTTCCACTTTCTTCATCAAAGTTTTGCTTTAACTTTTCTTTGACTTCCCGTAACAGCGACTGCCTAAATTCTTCGACTTTTATCAATAAATTGCCTTTAAATGAAAACAAATAGAAAAGAAGTCAAGATAGAGATTGCTGTCAATTGCACGTGAAAAATACTTGCGATATTAGTCATGGGAATAATGCATTAAATTTCAAAATAACTTCAAGAAAAGGCTGAGAGTAGTAGATGTTTCGATTGAAAATAAAAACAAAACAAAAAGTATCATTGAAAATTTATCCTTGCTATAAGATAACATAACTGAATAATCATAATAACAAAAAATGAGCAGTATTTATCCACAGATCTCTGGTAATCATTAAAGATTTTTGCTATAAGAGCAAAGAATGAAGCCGCAAAGTAGATTAAAATTTCTCTTAATTTTACTTAGAAACTCCTGATTTAAAGGAAAGGACGGTTCTAAGCTGCTACCCCGAGTATCACGCTTAGTGCGATCGTCGTGAATTCCCGCCCCTTAATAGATATAATAACTAAATACAATAAGAACCATAGAGAGAGTAGTTTTAAAATTTGCTTTATAATCCCATTAATAGTGAAAGTCGGAGTAGCAACATAGAACAGTCCTGTTCTATACACCAAATAGCGTGTAAAGCTCTGCCTATACGACATCAAGCACTTTATAACAGACCGAGAAACAATAATTTTCATCAATTGAACACAAGAAAGATGGTATCCAGCAAAGGTAAATTGAATAAGGTAAATTACCACACATTTCAATGACTCTGAACGAATTCTGAAAGATACTCCACTGGTCTTCATCTTCGAAACTTTTATCATCTATTGTTACTCCGATCGTGCCACTCGTTTTCTTAAGACTGCTGATAAGGCCATCCAGTTTACCAAGGTATGCCGAAAAGAAATTCTAGATTGTGGAAAAAAACGATTGCAGACAAGTACTTGTAGAATAAATACTGGAGGCTTCAACTTAAAAGATTTGGGAACTTGAAAGTTTTGGTTATTTATAGAATACTACTCCATAATTTCAAAAAATAGGTTCAAAAAAGCTTTTTAAATTGTAGTGACAAGCTAAAGAAAATAATCTAAATCTGCTCTAATTTTCACTTCTCGATTCCCTTCGATTCCATCTTTCTTTAACTTACTCAAACCAACCCAGAGATTCGAAAAGACGACCATAAAAGCCCTCAAAAGTGTGAGAAAAATAAGGTAAAAAATAATAAAAATTCAGTTTAATTTTTTTATTAAACTGCCTTTTGGTACAATGTGAGCTTTCAGATTTGTGTGTCTAATCAATAAAATTTAAATTCAAATTTTCCGTTTTTGCTTTAACCATTTCCCCTAAGTTATTATTTCAAAAAAAATGCAAAAAATAGCTTGTATTTTATTTATATCTTTAAAGTAATTAAATCAGTCAATGACACAAAAAATGTAGGTTCTTTTCATTACTGTAGTGTGATAAAAAAATATTTCATCCATGCAGTATAAAGTCTTAATAATTAGTTAAATCAGTAACTGAATATTTATTAGCAAACAGTAATATTAAAATGTTACTTCTTCACAAAAGAAAGCTGATGACCAGATATATCGAGAAAAATTTGTAAATTTGAGCAAGCTCTTTTCTTAAATAGAACTACACGGGCACTAAAGTAATTTGGCAGTGACAAGCTAGAAGAAACATTTCAAGGTTTGCCATGTTCCTATTCGTCAATCTTGCAATACCCTTTTCTGTTAATCATTGAAAAAGTTATTTCTAGTAAGCACTTAATGATTTAAAATTAGAATTGAACAAAATTCAATTGCAAATAAGCTTGTCTGCGGTAAAATTTTGAAAAATTAGTGAGTTATATGTGAGAAATTGGAAATTATATCGATGTTTGTTTAGATACAGTGGAACATACAGCATAAACTAAAAATGATGAGCCTCAAATGATGAGTCATACTAAGATACCTCTAAAGCTTCTATCAATCCTAGGACACCAAATCCATCGGTAAACTTCCAGCAACAGGATTTTGCCTTGAGATAAAAAATCGGCAAGTTAGACTCAATTAAAGACCCCAATCAAAGGTCATTTTCACAACAGTAGCGAATTTCCCTATTGCTCTCTTTAGAGAATCTTGAGACATTAATTGCAAAAATAAATTCAGTAGAAAATAAATCAAAAATAGGATAAGAAACAATTCTTATTCTTGTATAAACTGAAAACGCAGCATAATATCGGCCTTTGGTCCTAACCCCCAAAAACTAGCTTCAAATGGCTTTTAAGATAGTCTTGTCCAAATATTTGAAATCTTTCTTTGCTTGATGTTTAAGGCTTTGCTTTTCTTTTTTAAGGCAAACAACATGAGCCATTTCTCTTGCATTTTTGTTATACTACTTTTAACAAACATTATAAACATCCCATTTCTTTAATACAACTAACCCATTTCATTTTTAAAATATAAATGGCCAGTTCTTACTCATACAGCTTTTATAGATAATGTTGTAACACCTTTAATAATAATAATAATAATAATAATAATGAAAACATTTTTTTATTTTATATTCTTCTACTTACAACAGTAACCTCACTTTACAGGTAGTTACTATCGGCTAGCCTGGTGACAAGTTTACTAATTTTACAAAAGTTATAACATTTAAATAAATCATATGAGTGCAAAGAATCTTTAGAAGGAGAGCAGTTCAGGGTTTGTCCAAGTCTTATTGCGCATACAGAATATATAATAGGATGTGCGTATAATTATTGCTGACAGTTTTTTAATTATAAAATTACGGTGTTGGTAGTCAAGTTTTAGTTCATCACACATATCGATGAAAGAATCACAGGAGTTACCAAAGATACCGAGACAGCTGATAGATAGATTAACAAAGTTTACTTTTTTGAACTTAGGGCGTAGTTCCTTTAGAAGGGAACGGTACTTCTCAGCTTTACGCGAAGCGTTATTGTCCAGGTTAGTCTCGAACCCAACAGTTAATTCGATGACATACAGACAGTTAGAAGCAGTTTTGATTAGCATGTCGGGACGGAACGAATCGCCAGTTATGATACATGGTGATAAATAAGCGGGAATGTCAGCATAAATGAATACATCTCGGATACATTGAAATGATGATGCAATGAAGTGCAGGGCAGAGTCGTGCCTCCAAGTAAAACGCCCTTGCTCAAGGTATTTGTTACATCCAGCTACGACATGAAGAAGTGATTCAGGCTGAAGGCAGAATGAGCAATCTGGAGATGAGCTAATTTTCCATAAGCAGAGGTTGTTCCTTGTGGCTAGTGTGTTGTTGAGATACCTTATCGTAAAGTTGAAGATGTTTTTTGGAAGTTTACTTTGAGCTGCAGACCAGAGTGAGGTTAACTTTGTATATGAATGCTCAAGCAGGAATGAAATGATGAAGCCTTGAGATGTTAACTGAGTTTTGAGCTTTTCAGTGTGTTCATCCCTTACACATTTCAGTACCGCCTTAGTGTTCTTGTATGCGTCGAACTGTATATTAGGTCCATAATTGGTGTTCATCCATAGGGATTTGATGTTTTCGTTGGGCGAAGATTTGAGTGTGTTTCGAAGAACAGTCTGGCACTGACGAAACTTTACGGAAGGAAGCAGAAGCTCAAGACCAAAGTGTTTACGAGAAAGAACTATGCCACTCAATGTCGAAGATATTGGAAGCTCGAGCCACTGTCGAACGAATTTTGTGACAAGCTGATCTAAGTTTTCGCAAACCCACGTTTTGGAGAGATTAGCAACTGTGAGATCCCAAGAGAGCTTTGAAAGGATGTATTGATTAAACAGTAGAATTCTGTTCCGCGGGTGAATTTTCAAGGAATCGATAACTTTGAGCATCTCACGGAGAGAAGTGGTCAAGTGATCCTTGTGTTCCTGGTTCTTCATATCATAATTGAAGAAACGACCCAGGTATTTGAAAGATTCGCCATGTTTCACAAAAGGGACAGGATCGTTGTTAATGAAGAGTTTAGGCTGAAACTGTGCAGATTTAGTTGCAAACTTTTTAATTCCAAAGGTGATGCACTTGTCTACGCGGATGATCATATTTGCCCATTGGCACCATCTTGTAAAACAGTTTAGCAATAATTGATTTTCGCGTTCATCACTTGTGACAACTGCAGCATCATCAGCGAATTGAAACCAGTGAACCGGGTTAAACAAGCGATCATTGCCGTCATGAGGAGAAAATCCAAGTTGTTTATATTTGTTTATAGTTGTTTATTATAATAATAATAATAATAATAATAATAATAATAATAATAATAATAATACGTCCTGGGTATGACGTAAAACTGCACCCGGTTGTGGAGTTTCAACGTGGGAGAATGAGGTTACCCTTTGCCGCAACTACCTCCAGGTCACCCTTGGGCAAGGTGTACTACCTGTTAGCTCTCCCCGAGACCATGAAATGCCGGGTTGACATCCGGCGGGGGCTAGTCTGTCTCATGGGTAGGGGGGACTCTTTAGCCTTGGTCGGCAACCCCCCTAGTGATGGTGTCACAAAAAAATTACCCGTTGGGAACTTGCTACAAAGAACGACCTCTTTTATGAGTGAGATGAATCAAAACAGTGATTTAGATAACAGCGTAAAGGAGACTGAAACTGATGGTGAAGGTCTCTCGCTCGGCAGGTGTCCCATGGAGGAGCAGCGTGGGCCCGGTCGTCATCCTACTACTGCCAGAACTGGATGGTCGAAAAGTATGAATGTAGCAGTAATGGAGTGCTATTTTTTGAGTAAGCCTGTAAATGATGACGGAAAACCAGTGAGAGGCTATAGACGCAGAATGCATAACATTTGGAGAGAGGGACATAGCTTCAATCTGACTGAACAGAGATTATGTGACCAAGCTCGCATGATTAGAAAGAACGGTTGGCTGACTCATGTGGAATTGGAAGAAATAAAAAGAAGAGTTACAACAGAAGAGGAAGGGGTGATAGATGATAGTAGCGTTGGAGAGGAGACTGTAATTAATGAGATACCAGTGACTGAGCCTGAAATAGAACCTGTGGTAACTTTCCTGGAGAGAAGTGAGAGAAGCGAAGCGAATACAAAAATGATAGAAGAAATTATTGAAATCATGAAAGAAGGGAACATAAGTCAATCACGAAGTCTGAAAAAGGCAGACAGAAAATCTGTGAATGAGGCTGTTAAGGAGGTAAACGACGCCTTGATAAGCATCAGAACGGAAAACATAACTGACACAAACAAACTGATCAGTGCTGTTGCATTGTATGTTGCGAGAAAACTAGGCATAGGGAAACCAAAGATAGAAAATAAGACAAGAGAACCATGGTGGAAAAGAAGAATAAGCGAATCTATTAATGAACTTAGAAAGCACATTAACATACTTGAGCGCGAAAAGAGAGGTGAAGTATCGAAGAAAGGGAAATACCATGAACTGTCAAAAAAGTATAACATCATAAGAAAAGGAATCTGTACTGTAATTGAAGAGTTGAAACAGAGAATGCAAGCCAAGGCCTTCAAACTAAGAAGGTACGAGCAAAGGACGCGACAATACCAAATTAATCGAATTATTCAATATGACCAAAAGAAGGTATATCAACAACTACAGGGTAAAGACAAAAGAGAGAATACAACACCAGATGCAGATGAAAGTAGAAAATTTTGGTCGAACATATGGGACAACGAAACACAGCACAATAAAAAGGCTAAGTGGTTAGAGGAGTTAAAAAACAACAAACCTAATCTATCACAAAATGACATTGAAATAACAACTAGAATGGTAAATCAGCAAGCCAAGAAGATACCTAACTGGAAAGCTCCTGGCCCTGATGGAGTCCAGGGGTTTTGGATAAAGAAACTTACATCTCTACACGAAAGAATTGCTGCCCAACTCAATGATTTGATAAATGATGAAATAGAAATACCCTCGTGGATGACCACCGGCAGAACTGTGCTATGTCAAAAGGATCCAAAAAATGGCAATGCAGTGGATAACTATAGACCCATATCCTGCTTGCCATTAATGTGGAAGCTGTTGACAGGAATCATCTCTGGAAATGTCTACACGTTCTTGGATGAGAATGAGATGTTACCTGAAGAACAAAAAGGCTGTAAAAGAAATAGCAGGGGTACAAAGGATCAGCTTCTGGTGGATAAGACGATTCTTGCTGATTGTAAAAGGAGGCATAAAAACTTAGCCATGGCGTGGGTTGACTATAAGAAAGCCTACGACATGGTTCCCCACAGCTGGATAATAGAATGTCTAAGGCTCTATAGAGTATCAGACAATGTTGTTAACTTTATAGAAAGATCGATGACCAACTGGAAAGTACAACTGACATCGTGTGGGGAAACTCTAGGGCTTGTAAATATTCGCAGAGGAATATTCCAAGGAGTTAGCCTATCACCACTTTTGTTCGTCATTTGCATGATACCCCTTACCGAAGTCCTCAGAAAAGTCAAAATGGGATATACATTGGATGGTGTTAAGATCAATCACCTGTTGTTCATGGACGACTTGAAGTTGTTCGCGAAAAACGAGAATGAAATTGACAGGCTAACATCTACTGTCAACCTTATTAGTCAAGATATAGGAATGGAATTTGGGATAAAAAAGTGTGGTGTTGTGACCTTAAGAAGGGGAAAATTAACAGGAAGTGCAGGGATTGAACTTGTCAATGGGGAAAAGATCAAGGAGGTTGGTGAAGAAGGATATAAGTATCTGGGAATAACAGAGTTGGATAGAATAAAAGAAGAGGAGATGAAGAAAATATTTCAAAGAGAATATTTCAGAAGGGTTAGACTTGTCATGCAGTCAAAACTCAATGGAAGGAATAAGATTAAAGCAACAAATACCTGGGCAATCTCCCTGATGCGCTATGGAGCAGGAATAATTAAATGGAGAAAAGACGAGCTAGAAAGTATGGACAGAAGAACCAGGAAATTAATGACATAAGTCAAAAGTGAGAGACCTTGGGGCAATGAATACTGAGGAGGCAGTAGCACCGAATGAACATAAGAATGAGACGAAAAGGCGCTTGGAGAAACGATGGAAAGATAAGCCGATGCATGGGCAATTTACTAAGAATACTGACGGAATTGATTGGGAAAAAAGCTGGTCATGGTTAAGGAACGGAGATCTGAAAGGGTGCACTGAAGCATTAGTGTGTAGTGCACAGGAGCAGGCGCTGCGCACTAATTATACCAAGCACTACATTGATAAAACAAGTGATACGCCTTTATGTAGAATGTGCGGTGACAAGGGAGAAACAGTTAGTCATCTGGTGAGCGAATGTGCTAAACTGGCACAGACAGAATATAAAAGACGACATGACAATGTGGCAAGGTATATTCATTGGTTGTTAGCGGAAAAGTGCGGATTTGAAAGAGCCACAAAATGGTATGAACAGAAACCTGAAGGAGTTTTAGAGAATCACAAGTTTAAGCTACTGTGGGATTTTATGATTCAATGTGATAGGGTTGTTGAAGCTAGAAGGCCAGACATTGTTGTCGTTGACAAGGAAAAAAAGGATGTGAAGATAATCGATATTGCCATTCCTGGTGATAATAGGGTAAAAGGTAAAGAACAAGAAAAAATTGAGAAATATCAACCATTAAAGGAGCAAATCGGAAATCTGTGGAATATGAAGAAGGTGACAGTCATCCCTGTTGTGATTGGGGCATTAGGGTGTATATCATATTGTTTTGAAGAGCACATGGGAAAGATCGGAATTGATGTAAAGTTACAGGTGATACAAAAGACAGCACTGCTAGGAACAGCCAGGATTTTGAGACAGACATTGTCTATGTAAACTTGAGATGACAGAATGGGACCTTTGTCAGCTTGTTGCTGACTGCTCCCTCCTATATTATCCGGACCAATTAACATCTAGGTGTCTGTGAATCACTTAATTAGCCATAATAATAATAATAATAAAACTAATACAAAAATCTATACTTTTAGGAACTGCAAGAGTGTTGAGAAAAGTTCTCGAGATCTAAGATCATGGGTATTGATCCGATTTCAAGAAACATCAAGAACAAGCCAGTTATAACATCAGAACTGTGTACATCAGCATAATAATAATAATAATAATAATAAGACAAATATTTACAGAGGATGGCCTCAGTCACTCGAGGGTGCTTTTCATGAGGGTCCTCTATTCAACTAATTATATCGATTTACTAAAACATTACAAAATTAAAAAAGTTCATCATAGTGGATAAAATCAGTTCACATTGTCCAAATCCTTTGTTTAAAAATATTAAAAGTTCCTGCCAAATTAATGTTTGTGTCCAGTTTATTCCAGTCATCAACAAACAGATAGGATGACACTTGCTTCCCCCAATTTGTCCTTACTTTAGATAGATGGTATTGCTCTTTGTTCCTTGTCTGGATGTTATGCAAATCGTGTCCTGTTTTATTGCTGAAAGTGTAACCTATATCGTTTTTTTTTCGACTTGTAAATGGTGGCACATCGATGGAACTTTCGTCTGATATCTAGAGATTTCCAGTGCAGTAAATTTAAGGCCTTCGTGCTTGAGTCATTTGGTTTCATGTTCAATACCAGTTTGGCGCATTTGTTATGAAGAACTTGCAGAGTCTTCATCGAACATTGGTTATTTCTATCCCCCCAAACAGTATCTCCATAATCAAACAATGGTATTATCATAGTATTTACAAAAGTTAAACGTTGTGCCCTTGGGATTAGATGACTAATTCTTTTTAACAAACCTATTCTTTTTTCTACTTTTTGCTGCAATGAAGCAATGTGATCCCCCCATGTCATATTTTCATTTATTATTATACCAAGATATTTATAACTTGTTTCTCGACTTAGCTCGTCCTCTTTGATTTTCAATGTCATATCTTTGAAACGCTTTAACTGCTGCTTTCCTTCAACCACAACAAACTTTGATTTAGTGATGTTTAACGTCAGTCGATGGTCGTTTACCCATTCTTTCACTAGAGCCAAATCCTCATTCATCTTATTTTTGATTTCATTACAGTTTTTCCCCGAGTAATAGATTACTGAGTCACTTTACAAACGTGTGCGACCAAACGAGGCAGCAAAATCGATATTGCTAAAAAGAGGCTTGGGTAAAGAAGCATTAGGCTTTCCAAAGGGATGAGGTACCACTTTTTTCTTAATTAATGACAAACTTTTAATTGGCAAATGGATTTAAATATTCAGCTAAATGAATATAAATGGATATAAATGAATAAAATGGATATTCAGCTAAATTTTCACAAAATCAAAAGAAAATCTACTATTTCATTATAACGTTCTCTAAAAATACATACTTCCTCAGCTAACATGATGGCTTGCCCAACAGATTCCAACATATTTGCTACTGTTTCTGTGAAATCAGAAAGGCCCTGAAGCAAAGGAAACAAGAATTACATAGGCAGCGAAAAAATATGATTTATAAGATTCTTTATATATGAGCCAGGACATTTCTGCTACCATTTTCTGAAACTGGGGAAAACAAACAGAAAATTCGAACCAAATAAAATGGAAGAAGAACGTCGTTATTTATGCTTAGATAGGCTTAGTTTCGGCTTTATAGGAAAAGTATAGTTACTGAGTGACGCATTATCGAGAGAACGCTTTAGCTATTGTGAAAATGAACACAGACATAATTACACAATTGAGCAGAAAGCCGAATGGAAACCGAGCAGAAACTGGTGTTTTCTAACAACAGTAAATCGTTAAATACAGTAGTCTCTCTAGTACGCGATGAGGGAGCTTATGAAAATGTTGAAAATTGGGTTGGCGCTCATTGGAAAGAGCGCTTATTGGAGGGAGTGCATTTTAAGGGGCCCTTATTAGAGAGGGGTGCTTAATGGAAGAGGAGCTTATTAGAGAGAGGTTTTTAAGAAGGTCACGCTAATTTTAAATTTCGAAAAATGCCCGAAAAGGAACAAAATTAATAATCACCATATCAAACACAATTTTTCCAAACTTAATGCAAACATGAGACATCGTAAAACGCAAAAGGGCAAAATGTGTAGCCTCTAGTCGGTCATATAATCACTAACTTATCAGTCTATATCGATGTGCCTAACTTCATGTATCTTTTCATTATACATTTTAAACTCTGCTGGTTCCCGCTTTTTATGAAAAGAAAGCTATTTTCTATCAGCCAAATTCTATATTATTACTTTATCACTAGAGAAACATAAGCTTAGGTATCAATAATTGACCTGGGCACTTAAAAAGGAGGTGTTTATTTTCCAATTCTATAAAAATAAGACGGGCATTTATTAAAGGGTATTTACCAAGCAGAGCGACAGAAAAGCAAATGGAGGCACCCAGTTTAGAAATCAGAAGGGTAAAACTGATTTATAGAACTCAATAAACTCGTACGCAGTGTACATGATTCGATTTTTTCAATTAACTTAGACATCATTCGCAATACTAGGCTACAAAACCTCCACCCCAGCTCGAAAGTGATGTTTTTATTTCAATCAAAAGTTTGAAAACAACAAGGTTAATGCATGATACTATGGCATTTGTTGCGAAGAAAGGCGCAGGATCACCGAGTCCTCACTACAAATGCCACTTACAATGTCCTAAGAAATAACAACGATAAATTAACAATAAAAGAAAAGGTAAGATACATATACACGCTAAATCAAGACAAAGAAAAAACGAAAAAAACTAGAAAAAGAGGGGTTAGGCGGCTGCTGAAAGTGATGTTGGCAAATGCCATATTCGCAACTAGATCATAGGCCAGATATCAGCTATCGTTAGCAGCTAGGCCAACTGAGGTTATAAGGTTATGTCTCTCAGGCATCGAGATGAGATAATGATACCATGTAAACATCTAGCCTTTTATCTAGTGACGGTCATAAAATATTACTCGCCTTGATTGCTGAGGTCATAACTTCGCAAATGCGCAACGTGCTACTTTATAAACATAACAATACTGTTTTTTTTTAATTTTTTTGTATATAGATTCTAAGACAGCTGACATGTACATAGAAGTAGGACCGACAACCGAGCTTTGCCAATTTTCCGCATTAAGTTGCCATTATAGTTTTTACAGCTATCTAAAGATTTTTGAGCAAATGCTATCCGATGGGTTTTGAAGCTGTTTTAAAATATATCATTATCTAAACAAACTAGCACAGGTTCATGCAAAGGTATGCTAAGGTTAAGGCATTTGACTTTAGGGTTTCAAGTACCGGGAGTGACTGATAAACGATGATTGAAAAGTGAAGGATATGAAATGTTTCTTACAAGATTCATCTTTTCGATTCCAATCATAAGCTCTGATTGCTGTATTTCTGAATATCGAATAAGATTCTTTGAATAAGGTTCTTGGATCTTCGTCATTAATTCAAAGACTGCTTGACTAGATGGATTCAATCCTAGAAGAATATTCACAACATCAATTAAGAAACTCATAAAAAAGAAATAACAAAAAGCTATCAAATCATCACTGCTAATATGGATATTGGGGCAAAAAGCAGACTACCATACAAGTAGATAAACAAAGAAAATGAGAAGTCATATAAGATCAAGTTTTGATGAAGATTTTGCAGGTAACAATATATTATCCACAGTAAATAAAAATATATCTATAACAATTTATACATGAAGCAGTTGGGTTCTGATTTCATCAGTTTCAGTGACAAAAAGCATTCAAAAATGCATTCAAATTTGATCTATTTTTTGCCTTCAAAATCCTTTTGTCACAAAAGAAGGCCTACTTGGGCATTAAAAAAGCCATTACTTTGAACCTGTTTATGTTTGCTTTTCAAGGAAATTTTAGGGTTTACATAGCCATTGCCTGATAAAGTTTTTCGATTCGCTCTGCTGAGTAGAAATCTTTAAGCATGCTACAAATACAATATCGTAGAAGCGTCCTAATCAGAATATATTTAGTGCGATGACGTAACACTGGCTAGCTTGCTTGATGGCACATGTTTTGTAGACAATATTTAAAGAAGGGCTGTGAAAATTGATACATTTGAATATACCCAGTGTGGACGTGAAAATTATGAGTAAGCAAAAAAAATAACGTAAGGTAGGTAGTATTGCCTGTATTAACTGCTTTAAGTTACCTTGTTCTGGCTTCATGGATGCTTCCAACCCTTTTATCAGTCTTTCGCATATCTGTAGATCCAGAAGAATTAGACATTCAACGAACAATTAAACGGAACATTGAACATTAGAAGAGACTTCGTACCAGCCAGTGATTACTACAATAAGCTTTTTTATACTTTGGGCGCTACAAATAACTGTCTACTGTTATAATCCGCATGGACAAGCAATGGGTCTGTGACTTGGGCAAATGCGACTAAGGATGAATTTCACTCGTATGTAATGGATACACGAACCAACAAACCCTCTCCCACCCCCGGAGGTTTTCTGGCGCTATTATTTGATTGTAGCAGTTGTCATCTCAGTGATGCCTGTAGTCCCCTACCTTAATAACCTTCAAGCACAACTGCTTTTGCAATGCTTCTCAAACATAAACTGCCAAGCAATGCTTTATGATTGGACTTCCACAATTTTTCTTCTTATTTTAAATCAACTTCCAAAGCGCCATAATGTCAGATTTTGATTTGCTTAGCTTTGTATGAGTAGCTCCTCTGGCAATTTCTGCTCAAGCTAATTAAGATCTCATGTTCATGGCTGAGTTGTGCTTTTACAGTACTAGCATTTATATCTCAGCCAATCAATAGATACTTACGTAACTTTTTAAAATCTGGCAAAAACCTCTGACTTAACCGAAATAGGTCCTTTTAACGTACACCAGCAACTTAAGTAGATTTAAATTTCTTATTCATGAAATATTGTTATGTCATTGGTAAAAAATTGAGCAAGAACAGCAACATATTTTTCAGATGGACTGCAAGCCATAACGAAAGGTTTTTCGTTATCTAATTACATAGATTAGGAAAAATTAAAATTTCAATGACTACTAGGTGCGAGAATTATTAAAAAGAAATAACAGCATATAAAGACATACCATTTTTATTTGAATGAGTAAACTTAATGGAACATCTTCATCTGGAGAAAACTTTGTAATTGCTGATGATATAGACGATTCTGCATTGGCTAAGATTTGCACAAGCAGAGACGACAGAACTGAAACTGGGTCCTGGAAAACTTGACCACACCAAACAATCTAAAGAAATAATAATAATAATAAAATCAATATATTTCGAAACACAAATTTTATTCAATAAGTATATTATGTAGTATGACTGTGTTGTAGTATTAAACATAGCTGTTATAACATTAGAACAAATACTTGCTTGAATCCTCAGTTCCCTTGAACTAAACTATTGCTTTGTAGGAGGTCTCCTAATTTAGATAAAATTGTATACAGAGCAGACCTCATGAACAAGACGGGTGAGCACAATACGGAAAAGAACGAATAACTTATGTATTATTCACTAACTGTGCATATTCATCATAAGCTTGGAATCCAAAGAAGATACAGCCAGCTGTGACAGAAATAATTTTAGAAAAAAACCTAATCAAATTATACATAACAATTAACCACAGTTGTTGATTCAAGTATTGGACGGTCAATTATTGTCGGTTTATTGTGCTACTGATGAGCGTAAAGGTAATTTTAGACCTCATATTTTGTTTTCTCTTGCACTTTGCAGCAAAAATGTCATTATTATTGAATTCAAGCTATGAACTGCTCAATTTAAATACTTCTCAGTTCTTAAAAGCACCTGAAGGAAATGGCAATAGGTGACAGTTTTTCTACCAGCGAAGTAATTCAACAATAAGAAATGTATTCATGTAAATTTACGTTTTAGTGAAAATCAAACTACTTTTCACCGGTCTGTCATAAAGTGCACGATACCGTATAGGCAGAAGTGTACGCACAATTTGGTGTATAAAACAGGAAAATTCTACGTTGCTGCTCCGAGTTGCACCCTTTTTGTGAAACTCAGTTGCCTGATAATCATGAAACTCGGAGTAGCAACGTAAAACCATCCTGATCCAGAAACCAAATAGCATGTACAGCTCTGCCTAACAGATAGACATTAATTTTCACTAACCAGACATTAAAAGACCGATAGACATTAATCTTCACTAATTTTACTTAGACAAAAGAAAGATGATATCCAGAAAAAATACATTACAGTGACTCTGAATTAAATTTACATATCATTTACATAGCATAGCTAAGGGCTCCAAGTAAGCGATTCCCTTATGACTCTCCTTAAAAAGAAGACGCTTCTTGAAACCGGAATAACATCAAGCTGCTTATAAAAAACCAGGTACATAAAGTTGTAAAAAGCTTTCGTCAACATTCTATAGAGGGAGAGTAGAGTTTTCACAAATATTTTGACATTTTAAAAGTGGCGGTTATTAAGACCAAGACCAGTGCATGTATCACTTTAAGGCCAAGACTTACCTAACAGTTGCCAGTTGCCTGATGGTCGCATTAACCGTGAGATTTGCGGTTGTAATTTGTCTACTAATGACTTTCCTTTTCTATACACCTAAGCGTCACTTCCTAACCATGCATTTTTCCCTTTTTACCTAACCATTTAATGGTGGGTTATATAGTTATAAGTGCAGCACAAAAATTAGTTCTCAAGTTTCATGCTGGTCATTGGTATCGTAACAAAAAGAAGAATTCTGCCATGTAAAGGCTACAAGAAAATAACATGGCAAAATAGTTCTCACCTCCTTGTGCCAAAAGGACAGTAAAATGTCAAAAAATTTTGGTAGCCAGATTGTTACATCGTTGGTTGGGTCTTCCAAAAGTTCTTTTAAAATACTGAGCAGATTTCCCTTTGAGATTTGAATGAAAAATTAATTCTATGGAAAACACGTGAACACGCAAGGTATAAAATATATTGTGAAAAAGTACACTGTATTATATAGCATTCGCTTGATAATAGCATTAAGCTTAGAACACAGAGGTTGAACTTAGAATCCCCCATTACTAAATAGATACAGTCAATACCAGATAGATTACAAGATGAAATATGTACATTGAGCTATGGATGACTATATGAAAAGATGATGAGAAGCGGGGTTCCATCTGAATTCCGGGGAATCTTCAACACCGTAAGAAGAATATATCAGTGCAGGCTGATTACGTAAAGCTTGAGAATCAGAATGCATAGATAATTGACCCTCGACAGACTCTTTTTGCGACCGTATATTTTGCTTTGTAGATCGGCTCAATCTTCAAGTGACTCAGCTGTAAACACTTTCTTTTCAGAGATAGAAAAACAATAAAGCGGCTGGAATTTCTATTTGCCCGTTTTTCATCGATAACCATATGCAAACGTTCCGTCGGCTTCCATAAGCACGGTTCAATACTAAACCTGCTTCAAAACGACAAGCCAAAATGAAATGGCCCCATGGCTGCCCTAGTAGAACCCACGACCTAAACCATACCCAAACTGGCACGGTGCAAAATGCAAAAAGAAGCTGAAAACTTGTTTAGAGAGCCAAGACAACAGAAAGTTCTTTTTCAGATATAATATTTCCTATGAAAGTAAAACCAGAAGTCATCTATGCCATGCCTAAAAGCCATGCATTGTAATGGCTTTAAATGTTGTCACCTTGTGGCAGCTATTGTAGTAAGTCTGTATCTGTTCTAATCTTCCAATTTCAGTAAAAATATAAACAAACTTTCTAGCTTCTTCTAAAAAAATAAAAGAACAATCTGTTAACTACAGCCTATTGAAAACAATGCTTGTGAGCATTTACGAAATGTGAGCATTCATTAAAAGATCCTGTATAAAAAAGCATTTACGAAAATCGTGTAAATTTTTAAATATGTGAGTACAAATTTTAAGTAATGGCACTTGCTTTGTATCGATACAGGGGCAGGTATTGTAGACAAAAATAAATTGTTGGGAGAAGTTGGGAGATGTTAGGAAAAATCAATGCTTTGCAACCCTAGCCTAGGACATTTAAGGTTCCATACAGGTTCCCCGCAAAAGTTCTGTAGAGACAATGGCATTCCAAAAATGGGCAATAGGAGAGAAGGAAGCAAAATTGTGCATGCTACTGCCCTTTACAATTATGATGTGAAAAGAATATTCACCGATTGAATGTCCGTTAAATGAAGCGACCAATTTTGTGCTCAAAAGTGCCTCTAGTCTGTTTTTCAACGATTCAAGAAAACGTTTCCTCTCAGCAAAATCAGGAACATCTTGCAGTACATTCTAAAACAAAAATAACAACCTTCATATCTGTGCGAAGCAAGGTTTTATGAAGATACTATCTCAAAGAAATATATTACAATTTTAGTTATAAAGAAAAGTGATAAATGCTGTTTTATAGACACATAAATTCAATGAAATACAAAACGTTTTGAAAGAACACGACTATATATTTATCGCAGAAATCAAGAGCTTGTCCTGAACCAAGATCATATCTCTTTTATTAAGCCTTGGAACAGAAGATTTGTATAGGCATATAGAAGATCAACAAAAACAGGTATGGAGTTGATAACTGTACATGTTTTACGTCTAATCACGGCGATGACTTAAAAAGCTGAGGTTTTAACCCAATTGATAAATAAAGTACTGGAGAAAATTGACAAAAAATGCAAAGAAGATGAAACAGGACAATGATTGTCAAACAGAAATCGGCAAGTATAAGAATGCAGTAAAGTTAATGAAGTTCAATACAGTTTCATGAAAAACCCGCTCCAAAATGTTACCCATTTCATAACAAACAACGCTTCATTATACGATAAAATGCGACAGAATACAAAAAAAACTGTAATTCGCATGATACAACAGAAAATGAGGATCTACAGGATCAACATAAATAAGCAACAAAGAGAGCTATAAAAAAGCTTGACAAGTACCAGACTTTTTTGCATCCCGATTAATTTGCTTGAAATCTGGAGAAGAAACAACACTTAAATATTACCAAAGCAAAGTTGAAGCAAAGTTACCAAAGCTGTCATTGTAAAAACCTAATGAAATCCTTAGCATGGAGCATATGATATATTTATATAGCATGTGCCCTTAGCATATGCACTGAGTATATATATATATAAATAGCTCCCAACTCTAAAGTTTTTTTAAAAATATAAATAGATGCTCAGTAAAAAAACAACTTGGTTGACGTTTCGCTGTAAGCTTCTTCAGAATGAATATAAACAATGTAAACAAAAAGTAGCAGGGCAAGGATTTTTACCTTCCAAATTTTGTTATCATATTTATTAAAGTTTGAAACATACGAATTCAGAAACATAAAACTTCTAACTGGAATATACTTAAAAATCACAGCATTTACATAACTGAAAGTTTCGTTTACATGAAGAAAGACGGCTGCAAAGCAAGGAGATGAGAACTCCAATGTAAAAAAGATGCAAAACACGCAACAAAAACTGAGACATACCTCGTCAACATCTCCAGAAGAAAATATCTCTTCGACATTGGTTGATAGAGTAGTCCAATTATCTGCTTCCTTATCAAGGAAGAAAAGCAAATTGTTTAACCCTTTTTACCAACTTAAATCTAAATATTAGATAAAATTTAGAAACAACGGAAACTATTCGGCTTTCGCCTTCGAAGTAAATATAAAATTGAAAGCTTGCAGAAAAGGGTAGAAATCGCTTACTCTTATGCTTACAAACTCTACAGATAGAAATTTCAAAAATACCAGATCTCGTTATTGTGAGATATTCAAGATAAAAGCCAATATCATTTTCAGTTCTGTTGATTTCATGCCCCTTAAACCAGATACAAAAGAAGACTGTCTTAAAGGCAGGAAAGGGCAAGATGGACCGATGACGTCATACGATAACGAAATAAGAGACGTTAAGAAGAAGAGTAAATGTTCAGGACCTTGGCAAACTTTCTAATATGAGTAGCATACAAAAACGCAAAACGACTGTTTATTTCAGCTGGAAAATAGTGCAGTGTTGCAGTATTAGAGAAAATTGGCACAACAGAAACCACAATTAAATACAATCTTATCAATAAAAAAGGAGCTTGAAATTGAACAAAAATTACTTAGGAAAGTTTTATCAAGGGGACTTTGATTACTTATACAGAGAGGGATTGGAAGCAGATGGTACAAGAAACAAAGAATCAAGAGAGAAGTCTTGTTTATGAACTTGTTTTTTTGTTTTTCAACGGATAACGAGGAATACACAACAGCCTCGTAGCTGCAGGGGGCACGGAGGGGGGGGGGCTGTGCCCAACTCCCCAAATGAAAATTTTGACAACCACTTGCCACTTCTGGTAACAGTTTTTCCAAATGATATTTTGAAAAATGGCATAATTAAAATTCCGCTAGATTTTTGCTTTGGCATGAGGGGACACTTTATTTCTGAAAAGTAAGCAACATTCAACCTGTTTAATTTCAAAATAGTCCATGTTTTGAAACATGTGCATCTGTGACATGTGCATCTGCTGCGCCACAGAATAGAGAGAGAGAGAAAGCCGCTGCAAGAGCAAGCAGACCAAGGACATTGGAAACAGGTTTTTGCTGGAGAATTATGAAGTCACTATTCCAGTTCTGATTATGATATACAAAATTGCATCGGCGTGCTGCCTTCTTTCATCTATGACGTACATTGATGCCCCAAGAAGGCGATGTGCATTGTTTCTTATAAGAAGAATTTTATAAGAGCAAGAGCCTCAAAATTGGTCAAATGTTAAGAACAAATTAAGAACAAGCTGAGGCTGAGCTACTGTAAAATACAATTTTTAACAACATTTGATCTAAAAAACGAGGACTTTTAGCCATGTGTAGGTGCTTTTTCGATGAATGTTCAAACTTGTCGGCAAATAAAGTTTGTCTCACTCACTTTGTTTAAACTTGCTCATGGTATACAGCATGATACCACTTTGTTTGCAAATGAGGCCTGAACACCCCCCCCCCCCCCTAAAGCGAAAAAGCACTGATCACGCCCGATTATTTTAAGAACAAAATTAGAACAATTCAGCCTCAGATTTTCTAAAAAAAACGAAGAACAGTCAACCTGAGCTTAAATTTACTGATTCTTATAAAAAAGAGTGCAGCACACCTTTTTGTCAGAGTGCTTTGACTCACCTTTTTAAAAAAAACCTAACTCGAGTTTTATCTTTTGAGGAATTTTCAACTGAGTGGCTACGAAAAACTTGTAGTTTCCTTTTTTGACATTTTGAAACTGATTGATTGTTTTGTTTTTGACTCATAGTTGCTTTGTAACCTTTGTAAGATTGATTTGGTCAAAATATTTCTGTTTGGTATTTATTTTGTTTCTTTTGTTAAAAGCTTGCCCTCCTCAGGTATGGTTCTTGCTCGAGTTTGCTTACCCCAGCAGAAATCTACAGCTACGTGGTTGATACATAGTAAGATAGATAGATAAAACATTGAAGCATATAGATTCAGTAATCAAGGATCTCAAAATCCTGCCGCCCAAGGGCACAAAAATCAACGAATGATTTTTGTGTGTTTGTTGTTGTTTATTCTCATTGCGTTATAGTGTTACTTATTTACTACAGAAAAATCAAGCCTTGAACTGCTTTACCAGTTCCTACTGGTAGAACAGTAGCCCTAAAACCAGCCACTTCCTGGCTTTAATATTCTGGCCAGTATCACACTCTTTGACCTTTTTCAAGCCTTTTCTCTTACCTGCGTTGAAAATCGCATTGAATATTCTAAAAGAAAAGGAAACAGGCAGGGAAACAAATTTCCTGGAGAGCAAAATACCTCGAAAATACTATGAATAAGTTAAGAAAATGGTTTTATCTAACATACTTGTAAAGCACTGGACGCAGCCTGTAAGCGATCCTTTATGTTGTCAATGTCGACTAGGGCTTTCATTGATTGCGATGTGTTTTCTTCAATCTAAAATGAAATAAAGTCAAACACTAAACGATAATAATAACAGTGCTCTACTATTAAAGATTTCCCATTCCGTTAAACTCTGCCATAAACAAAGATCATCCTGCTGTTTAAACTTGAGGATATTATCAAAAGACTCACTATGTTTTGCCGTGGAACATTGACCGTCAGAAAACATACTCCTACGGTAGACTTTGACAGCCCCATCTCATCGAGACTAGATATAAAAGACACTAAGAATCAAAGAGCCGTACATACCCTTCTAATATCATCCTTAACCATCTGCATCTGCTCTTTCAAATTTCCTGCCTCAATTTTAATCCCTTCAACTTCTCTGAGCACCCTGTAGGCAAAATAAGATAACATATCTGCAAACAAAATCCAAGCACTTACAGGCAGCATTTACTTACCAATCAGGCAGCAATTACTTACCAATCAGGCAGCAATTACTTACAAATCAGGCAACAATAACTTACCAAGCAGGCAGCAATCACTTAACAATCAAGCAGCAATCACTTACTGTTAAGAAAACCTAGATATAATTTATATCATGTTAAGTTATCCCTTGTTAAGAATAACTAGAACAGCTCCACATACAAAATATAATTTGAATGTTGAAAATAGCTTGCAGTTATAAATGTTTAATCACTGTTTTTCTTCAATCACAGAAATCATTGCAAAAGAAATTTTTAAACCAGGGAAAGTTCATACAGGACTTTTTAGGATTTAAGAAATTATTGACTACGTTGCCTCTGAAATAACAAAATATTCCTAGTAGAAAGCTAATAATTAGGTTGGCACATGCATTGAGGTGGAGGACATAAGCTTTTACAGGATGATTTGCTTAGAGGACTATTTGGTTGCAGGTTTTATCAAATTTTCTGCCTACCCTTGTCTACCTTTGGCCTTTGGTCAAAGATAAAAACTTTCTTCAAATTCTGTTATAATAATATTTTCAAATTTTGCAGTATCAAAATTCAATAAAATTCCAAAAATCATTCTAGCATTCATACCAATGTAAGTGGAATTAGTACAACAAGATCCAATTTTAAGATGTCATGCAGCAGTATTGCACATCTAGATTTACCTAAGTAAAACACCTAAACTTTTTTTATAGTTGATATAATACACTATTGACCAGAAAACAGAACTAAAATGCATAAATATGCACAAAAATACCTTCTAATTGAATTACCTGGGAAGGTTGTTAACAGCAATTTGACTTGTCTCCTCTAAAGACTTGTTCACTTCCTTGAAGTAAAAGGTTTAGATATTCAATAAAATAAGTATTGAATGAGTAACACTTTTAAAGAATTTGAATCAATAGCAGCAGTACCAAAAAAACATATTTTAACTGGTCAACAACATACAACAAATCTAATCTTCAAAGGTAATAATATTTTGTAATAAGGGAATATAAAATATATGTATAAAATTTATACATTCAAGTACCTGGATGAAAAGCTGCAGCTTCATAACAAGGTTTGATGCATGCACCTGCAGTGAACAAAACACAGATTACAAACAATATTCCTGGAAAGTTAAAGCAAATATGCTACAAAAGAACTTTGGTTGAAATTTACAGAACTATGAGTCACCTTACAATTCAAAACATAAAAACTGGTTTGCCAACCTTTCCAGTTGCTGTTTTTTCACATAGAAAATTGTTGTCAATCAACTGCATTGTAGTTTTATTGCTTGTTTATAAAATCCTGCCAAATCAGCTTCATATTTTAATAAAACACAATGGCAAAATGCAATATTCTAGTTACTAGAGGATGGGCTCTCCTCGAATATTTTTACAGTTTTTAACTATTGAGAGTGTTTTCTCTCCACTAATTTCCATTAATAATTCCATCTAGATTGTTGTTTTGTTTTTCTTGCTACAGATTTCTTTTCAGTTGAATAATAACCATTTTTTAACACTGTCTCATATTATCATATATATGGTAAACTATTAATGAATTCTACAAAATTGAACAGAACTGAACTGAATAACTTCATTAAACTCAAAATGACTCTTTAAACACACACAAAATAAACTTACATCCACATTTTGGCCAGCATCCTTGTGTGCTCTCAAAGCACTGTTAAGCCAATCTTTTACATCAAAATTTTCATCTGAAAATTTTTGAAAGTCCTAAAATATATAATGAAAGCATAATTTTCCAAAAAGATAATCATCTTAATTACAAACATATCTAAAAGTGAATACTGCTTTATAGATTCAATCTTTGGAAACTACTAAAGAAGCTTTTAAGCTATACATAAGACACCTACAGTTTCAGACTTCTTTTGGATGAAGTCTTTTGTTGCTTGATAGAAGAATGAATCTTGCTGTTGTCTCTTTTTTCTCCATGGGTAACGTGTGAGCTGGTAATGATGACCCTAATATTGTTATACTTGCTTGTGCTGTGTAATGAATCCAATTTTTGCATAGCTTTTCAGAAACTATTTGCAGCACTGAACCTGGATGAATCCTTAAAATATTCTTACTATTTTCAACCTGATAAAGGAGCTCCAATGGAAGTTGGAAAGTAGGAGTGTCAATGGAAAATTAAAACCCCCTACAAAGGATTTTCAAAAACTGATCTACAATTTTGTAAAAAAAGAGTGGGCATTGGAAGTTCTTTTTGCTATTTTCTAGCCACAACAATTGCAAACTGGTAAGGCTTCTCCAGTTATAAGGAAAATAGAAGCATTGTACATATTCCTTTTCTTTTCAATAATTTCATGGCGTAATCTCGATCGAGATTAGTAACTTTGAATTACTATCTCTAACAGCAAAGAGATAAATGGAAATGAAACAAAGTCTCAGTGCTTGAACTTCCAGGGCTGCCAGGGTGCATTCCATGAACTTAGGCCCGAAGATCTTCGGCATACACCCAGATTTTTTTCAGCGTTCGGCGTTCAAACCAATAACAATTTTTTTTGGCGTACTCAAAATGTTCGTTAGTTGGCATGCTAAACATGATGAAGCCATCAGCCATACATAGTTAACGAAAGACTCATACAGCACAGTTTTATCTAATAATCAGTTTTCTTTGTCTGGCACAAAAATGTTTAAAGTTTTACTAACTGCTTTTATATTTTTGGCGTACCTAAACAAATGCCCCGGTGGACCTTGACATATTGACATGGAATGCACCCTGGCAAGGCTTGCGAAAAGAGTTTATTAGTCAGGCATTTACAATCACCTGAGCTTATACATTGCCTCAAGAATACATAAAGAGCAACTGATAGAAATTCATGGAAATTCAAAGATTAGCATTGCACAGCTTACCATTTTAAGTTACTGTCACATCAATTTTATCGGCTAGTAATTTGCAAAAACCTCCGCCATTTTCTTTGTTGTCCACATCAAAAATTGTACAAGAGGCCATCGTCGTTGTTGTTGTCAAAGCATGGGTTAGAAGAAAGATGGCGGAATGAAGGCAATCTTATACAAATTTTTTTAAGGTGAATGATTTGCAAAATACATTGATATATAATTGTGTTTTGCCAGTAATTTTGATGTACTACCCATTATATTAATGCATGTTTTTCAGGAGCATCCCCTACCAACAACAACGATTTAGATTAGAGAAGCGATCTGTAACAGGCTGGCTATATAGCCTACATTACAGCATTTGTTATGTTATGTTATGTTAATGCAATCTTGTTGAAATGTCTGGCCAAGTTAGTTTAAATGTTTTAAATATATTTTTTAAACATAACATTTAAATGACCAAATTAGTTTTGGACCACAAAATTTGAAAATGGCATGAATTAGCGGAAACATAGTATACTAAAGTACTTTTCATCCCACACTCTGTTCAAAGTTACGGATGCCATAATTTCTATAAACATAGGCATAGGAGGCATAGGGGGTGGAAGGACTGCAGCCTCTCTAATCAGGCAAAATCTATCACAATTCAGGCTCAATTCGGGTCAGTTCTTGTTATATATTATGATTATAAAAGTTAGCGCTCAGGACGTATTTCATTTTAAACTTGTTATTCCAGAAAAGATGCTCTGTTGCTATAACTTTTGTTAACCCCCTTAATGTTACAACATAGTTGCCTAGTCAAACAATATGGTAGAACATCTCCAGCATTTAAGTTGTCAAGAATTCTGAGTATGTTAGTCTTATATCAAAACGGGAAGTTACATATCAGAATCCAAGCTGTTTGAGAGTTAAAGGTATTTTGTATGCATGGGTGCCAGACTGGAAACTTCCATTAAGCGAATAAATTTTTAGAGGTTAATTATATTAATTGTTATTACCTAGGGATTTTTTAGGACCAAAATGCAAACACCCGCAGATGTGTGGGCAGACAATATATTGCAAGTGTGCAAGAAAGTTTCCAGTCTCACATGGGTGCTAAAATTTAGGGCTAAGTATGGATCATTGCTTCTTTGAGATATAAGTACTTGAATGGAGCGCAAAATGTGATAAATTTTGCCTGATTGGGGAGACTGTCCCTCCCACCCCCTATGTCTCCTATGCCTATGTTTATAAAAATATTTTGTGTCTGTTATATTTTCTAGATTGGAAAGGGATAATTTGAAAAAATAGCCTTTTTGTTTGATATTCTTGTACCATTTCCAATGGATGAAGATGAGATAAGTGAAGTTCAGCACTTTGTCACACCAGGAGATATAATCACTGAGGATGCAGGTTTTATGAGGTTTGTGGAAAATATTTACTATGTCTTTCAAAAACCTATTTCATGGTTACAGTTTGAGGGAAAATTTAAATGTTCTTTGTTCTGGAAAGGTTGTTGTGCTTTATGCTCTATGGTCTCCCTCAAGTTATTGGGCGAATCTCTGATAATGTAGTTTTAATTAAAAATGTAGATTATTTTTACTAAAGTATTTTTTCTTCTTTTCTAATTATATCATTATCAACTTTAGAGCAAATAAGGCTTTACAGCTTGTTTACAACTACTTAATTTCTTGAAGAAAGTGATTTGATTTATTGATTAGTCATTTGATATCAGTCTTTTATCTCATATCTCAATAAATCAATATTGATTTCATTTTAGAGGTCATGGGACATATCTGAATGAAAATAAACTGTTTGCCTCTGTTGCTGGTGTAGTTGAAAGAGTAAATAAACTTGTCTCAGTTAAACCATTGAAAACCAAGTAAGTTTTTGTGATTTTTTTCTACAATAAGGGCCTTTGACTTGAATGAATCTGAAAATACATTCTTTTATCCATCTTAAAATGTGAAGTGCTAGACATCAAACTTGTATTAAAATAATGCTTAGTTGATTTGAACGAACAGAACAACCGTAATGACTATTGTTTTATAATCTTTGTTACGAAAATCAAGTTGCACAGCTGTGAGAAATGGATCTTTTAGAATAAATTTTTAATCTTGTATCTATCTTTTTGAATTATCTTATGCAAGCTGTTAACTTAGGTATACTGGAGAAGTTGGTGATGTGGTGGTTGGAAGAATTACAGAGGTATGATTCTATATGTTAATTTAACTTTATCAACATTTATTATAATATTGCTTATCTTAATCTTTCCTATTTAATTTATAATTTTTCATTTTAATTCGTGACCCTTTTTCATTCTTAATCTTAATTATGAAAAGGAAAAAATTAATCATTTGCTGAACACTGAAATATTTCATATCTGAAATCAGGTTTTGATACTTTTTGTGATTGTTAATTAATCTTTCAATTATTGGCTCCAAAGAATTTTATTATTTTGGAACTTCTGTAACAGTATTATAAGATTCAGTTCTATTGAGCTTTATAAGTGATGATTTCCAAGAACATTTGACATACATTGCATCTCTATCACCATTTAACACGTTTTAATGCATCATCAGTGACAGAATCTGACAAGATTATTAAAGTATTTTTCTTTTGAAAAGGTTGTACAGAAGAGATGGAAAGTAGATACATTTTCAAAACTTGATTCAGTTTTATTACTGTCTGCTGTTAATTTGCCTGGTGGTGAGTTGGTATGTATATTCAATTATCTTAGCAAGCTCACTAGCAGCTTTAAAGTCAAACATTCAGTGAACTGTTAAGTTTACTATTTAGATTGAAAAAAAGAATCCTTTTTTCTAATTCTTTATAAACCTGTAATTGTGACAAATAGAAAATAAAACTTACTATATTTACCTGGAATTTTAATGTTCCAAGCCAAATTCTATGTTAATTCTGTCCAGTTTTAATGAATATTTCAATTGTTTTTAGCAACAAACAAATGTGTTGAACAACCAAAAAAAATGATATACCTTACACAATTTTAACTGTATAAACAAATAATATACTCTTATTCAAAGACATATTATTCATTCTTTCTGCCTTGCACTAAAATCAATGACAATTGCTGGTGTTGGTTAAGGTAGCAAAGCTGATGTAGGAGCCTTCTTTGGGGAAAGGCAACACTATCGGTTTCAGTGTGATGGTCAGGAGTTTATGGATTTTGTGTTGTTTAAAGTATCCTGCAGGAACAAAGTAGCCTCACTAACCAATCCAAATACTGTGTATAATTTCACAAGCATATTGAATGTCAAGAACATCCATTTGAATTTCATTAATTCAAAGCTATAAGTATTTTTACCCAAATCCCTCGAACTGACAATTACTATCATCCATCAAATATTTTTAGAGAAGAAGATCTGCGGAAGATGAGCTGGTGATGAGAGAATATCTTTCAGAAGGAGACCTCATTTTTGTATCCTTTGTGGTAGAAAATTATTTACTGTAAATAGTTAAGGTTTATTTACATACTAAATTGCGATAACTTATAGTAAAATTTATTGTTATCAGGACTTAACTAAAACATTTAGGCAGAAGTGCAGTCGCTGTATGCTGATGGGTCATTGTCTCTTCACACAAGAAGTTTAAAATATGGCAAGGTCATTACTTGCTTTGATCTATTTCTATTCAACAAAGTACATTTAAAGCTACAATATCCTACATTATGTATATGTTATTGACAAAAATTTTTTAAAACAACTTTTTGCTATTGATTTGAATTGTTTATTGTCTGTTGAGAACGAGAGTTGTCAAGTACTTTCTATGACTTTGGAAATACCTTCTGTCTCATGTGAGACTAAAAATGCACAAGTTACTTAGATCTAGTTACTCAATACATGTTTTAAGGACAAAAATGTGGCAAGCAGCCCATTATTGTTTTTTATTTAGACAGCATTGTATTTATTGTTTTAGCTCCCTCAAGGAACTCTGATAAAGGTCTCCCCGTCACTTATAAAGCGATGCAAAATACATGTCCACGACCTTCCTTGTGGTGCCACCGTTATCCTTGGCAATAATGGCTACATCTGGATAGGCCCAGTTATGTCTCAGGAAAGTGACCTTTCGCTGCACAGCTCTGAAAGAATAGAAAAGGTAAAAGTTTCAATGGATAGCCAAAGTGAAAATAAAAGTCATTAGAATCAAAGGAAATCTGTTTGGCATGTTCAAGTTTTTTTTGAAATTCTAACATTGGCGATCAACATGGCTAAATACTTCGAAATAGTACTGGTTTCCTACTGTTGAAAGGTTATACTAAGCAATTCATGCATAAGTAAAATTTTGGAAATAAGTACAATAGCGGTTTGTTATTTATCTTGTATTACGCTTTAAGTTATCCTAAGCTATATAGCTATGTCAACTTTAATTTCTGTAGTAGAATATTTATTCTGGTCAATAGTTTTGATATCATATGGTTAATATAAATAGCACATTGTATGTTTAATATCATGAAAATATTAATTTTGTCAGGAAATTTCAAAACGTGACAGAGAAGTCATTGCAAGATTGCGAAACTGCATCTCATGTTTGGCAGAAAGCAAAGTACTTTTGTATGATACATCAATTCTTTACGCCTATGAGGCTTCACTAAAATTTCCAGTAAGTTCCATTTTTTTTGTTTCCTTATAACTAAAAGCTCTCAATTTATGATCATGATTGATTATAATTTCCATTGTGTGTCTTTTTCCTCATTTTTCCAAAATAAGAACAATAAACTCTAGTTTTCAGCATTGACAATCATTTCTGGCTGATATAATTCTGTTAGTACCCTGCGTGAACGTGTATTCTGTCTTTTGACTGGTTTGAGACAAAGCCTAATAATTGATATATGTTGCTCCTTGTTTTACTCGATCTTCTAGCATATGTTTGAAATATTTGGAATCAAAGCCAGAAAGATATCAACATCAAAACATGACTGGCACTACGCATATCAAAAGCGATTCATGATGAATTCAATGATGTCGCAAAGTAACGATAAACCTGCAACCTTTATATTATAATATTTTAAACTCAGGTGAAAGAGTTGTTACGATCTGATGTCCAAGATGAACTGGTAGACGAAACAAGGGCTAATCTGCTTCAACAGATCTAACTTCATTCGTGCCACATCATGCGTGTCACGCCATTCTTGTTACATCGTTTGTAGAAAAAGTATGTGTGAATGTTTGATTAGATGTTGACATGACTATTGAATAATATCATTAAGTCTCGTATTTGGTGGATCTTATTTTATTTGATGAAATTGTTTTATTCTGCGGATTTATTCTACTTGGTTATTGTCCGGCTCCCTTGCAGAAGATGGGCAAACTTTAGCTATTTGTCGTTGGGAAAAAGTGCTTACCATAAATGCTCACAAATTCTTATCAAACTGTCTCACCAATCCTTACCAAAAATTCTCGCAAACGTTTACGAAAATACTCACAAGTCATTCGCTACAGCTCCTCGTCAATACTGGAGAGATCAGCATCAGCTCCAAGGGTAGTTTCTATCTCTGGTCCAAATTCTGTCTCTATTTCAGTTTCTATTTCTTCCCCAACTTTATTTGAATAAGGTTTTGTATTTACACGAGCTTCTCTTTTGTTTGCATCACTTCTCACAAAATTCAAACTGTCAGATAGCATTGGCAATTGGAACCTCTCGGTGCTTGTGTCCAATGATGTGTTGCTATCGCTGTTAACAATTCTTGATGGTTGCAAACTCTTGTTTTGCAAAGAAGACAATAATCCATTTTGATCTCGTGGTCGTATATTTTGCTCACGTGCTAGAAACAAAAATTAGTGATTTTTCATAAAATAAATCTAAGAAGAAATGTTGAAAATTCAGCACTATGTTTAAAAGACAAAGTTTTTTACGTTTTCATGTAGGTCACAGTGTGTCATTGTATGTAAATTCATATGATTAAGAGCATAGGCACGTGACTAACTACCTTCCCAGGGTTCCTCTCCTTCATCAGAGATATTCAGGCGCCAGCTTTCTTCATCGTCGTTTCCATGATTAATTCCACCTTTTTTAGAAAGACAAACTCAAATGTGTCACTTGTCAACAGATAGAATTTGATTATGAACAAATTATCTTTGTATATTTGATTATACGTTTTAGACTTTTGCGCTTCAAAATACGCAAAAACAGGCTACTATTTTCAATCGAATGTAGAAGTGAATTTACAAGAGAAAAATTAGGACCATGAAAAGGTTTCATTAAGGTCTTTTGTAGCGATCATTATTGTTTTGTTATGAAATAATCTTCTTGTGAGATTATATGATGCAAAATTCTTCGACAACAATTTTCAGCAATCTATCAAAATTTCAAAGCAAACTTACATTAGAAACTTATAAAGATTAATGAAAATAGTGACGTCATTGTTTTTGTGACTTCATTACTTTTGTGACATCACTGTTTTTGTAACATCAGTGCCATATCCCACAGCACCAGTACGATGAGCGTCACATTAACAACGAATAACTTAAACAGGTTTATATGAAATAGATGCTCACTGTCTCCTGGACTCCTTGGTGCCTTGTGGTCTTTTGGTCCTTGACTGTAAACGGAACATAGAAGATTTCATGTAGAATATTTCTTGGAATACTTGACACTACAATTTGTTTACAGTAATCCAGATACAGCTTAGAAAAAACTCATTTTTCAACTAACAAGAGTGGTAAAATTATGACGTAATGGGAATAAGAAAAAGGAGCAAATTTTAGGGTTTCTTATTGTGAGCCATGAAGTTTCAGAAGACACTCTAACAAACGTCTGAATCACACTGAATATACTAGCTTGCGTACAGACACTACTTTTTGACCCTTCTCGTTGAGTTGAATAATGGCTTTGTTCATAGTGTTAAGGACAAATACAAAATCATCGTGATTTGAAAGGGCAAGCAGATGAGCTAGCTTTTTCTCAGCCAGTTTTGATGAGATTTGACTGCTTCATCACATGAGATGATTCCAGCAACAAAATCCTAATTTAATCAATGATTTCTGAAAATTAAAAGTACCTTCGCTGGAACATATGTGATACCTCTGCCATTGACATTTCTGGCCACACACCAATATCACTTAAAGCTCCGAAGCTGTAAAGAAATACATTGCATAAGAGGCATCTAAGAACTCAAGAATGGATGCAGTACATTTAGACCGTGGAACGGGACGTTAATTGGAACAATATTGTAATCTACCAAATTTTAACAATCGCCTATTGTTGTACTCAACCAACTAGAAAATTAGAACTTATGTGATTAAAGAGGTTTATCGGGACATTTTGCCTTTTCTAGCAATATTGATGGGCAATTCAGAAGCTGAGCTTTACTTAAGTGTTTCTACATGTAACAGAGACATTGAAACTCACCCAGATCGTGGTGTCAGCTGTTCGTCATACTTATGATTTTGCACCAGTTCCAAGTGTTTGTTTACGTGCTCGACCTCTATTAACCTTAAGTAGAAAACATTACAACAAGTTTTAAAAAGTTGTTTTATAACTGTGTTGAGATTTCAGGGGTGGTCTGTTTGGAGAAGGCAGCTGGAAAGAAAATTCAGAGATACCAGTTAGAGTGGGGATTATGTTTCTGGTATGCAAAGTTACTCCATGCATAAGCTTTTCGGCTTAAAGCTATTCGGAACTAAAGATTCTTGCTTCAGGGGGTACTCGCTATTTGATACCTGAAACTTGAGTTGTTCTTAATTGCTGAAGTCCGCTTTCATAACCAAATAGGCTCTTGACTGGCGCTCGTGTGCTTCAAGTAGAATTTCAATGAAGAATCTCCAGTTTTAAAGGCAGTTACGTCCAATATCTGTATTGATCTTATTTTATCTAACATGCAACAGTACAAACAAAAATATTCTTGAAAAAATTTCTTGAAACTTATTGAAAACGCCTCGAAAATGTTCGGTTAACCTTTTCTACAAAAGTTTTATATATGAAGGTCGACTTATTTTTCCAATAAATGATAATTTTGTTTCTTTATTACATAAAGGTCGAGGCTTAATTTGCAAACTTACTGATGCTTTCTTTTGTACTGAACGTATCCTATCAGAATAAATATTGTCAACAATGTTGAAACACCAAATGCTATTGCAAGGCCAATTGCTCCATCTTTGGATCCAGAGTCTATCAATTCTGCAACTGAAGCAGCAGGCTCACCTGCGAAAAATCGAACATTGCAACAAAATTCAGTCAAAGGAATGCTCAAAAAAGCTGTCACTGGTAAGTCTAGCCTGAACTAGGAAACATCTCACAATGAAAGCATGAAACTTCATGATCAAAAGGCAGAATACGTGCAGAAGGTTTCATGACTAAAAGAGATGTCATGTCTTTTTTGCTCATTCAAATATGAACTGAAGTTTCATGATTTTCTGTTTTCTATATATCAAAGGAATAATCAAGTGATTGTTTATTGTATTAATATATAAATTGAATAAACATTCACTTTATTTTTCTTTTATGGGTAAAGCTTTTAGTAAAAGCTATTCCATGCTAGTCATGAAAGAAAAATATCTTTGATATCCAAGCTCGTGTGAAAAGACTTGGCGTGCCTTGAATTTGTAAACAAAATATTGTGAAAGCGAAAGAAGTTGCAAACTGTGATAAACAAGGGCCTATGAATTTTCCTTTCTATGCATCTTCTTAAATGTTCCTTACGCAAGAACCAGAATGGCTGCATCAAAATAGACTAGTTTCATGTTCCTGATCATCGCATTTAAATAAGGTTCAGGCGTTGTTGAGGATTATTTTTCTTCTAAAATTTCAATGTTGTCAGAAATGTTGATTGCAGTTGCCTCTTCGGGGTCTTGTCACATTTCAACATTGATGTTTTACAAGAATCCTTTTACATTGCTTCTTTGTTGCTTGCAATTTAATTGCCCAACAAAATGGGTTTTCTTCACTCATATGCAGTTGTCTAAGCCTCCAAAGGAACGCAGTTTTTCTGAAATCCTCCAGGTGCACTTTTGAGCCTATATTAGACTTTAAAGGCAGGCAACTTTGTCGAAATGAAAGAAATCAAAACAGAAAATCATATATTCTCAACATTCTATTCGAGACTTACTCCTGAAATTGTTAGAATTTCTGAAAATACCGATTTGATTATTTTATGTGAAACTTTCAAAGATGGCTGAAAAATTAAACGTCTTTTGTTGTTCTTGTAAATAAGGACTTGGATTTTTTGCTGTCTAGAAACAGTGACATGAAATGAATTCACCGTCATAGTAATTGGCATCAAGCCTATGACATACCTAGTGAGATCGGCGTGCTGAAATGGCTGTCTCTAGGAAATTTGCTGTTTATTGTTGTTCCACGAACCTGTATCCTAAATTGACAAAAGAAATTTCCATTATAATTTGTTACTTGCTTAGAATGGTAGAATTTTCTACAATTGAAAACATTTAACTCAAAAACAGTGTACACCGAATTACAATTGGCATAACATCATGTTGAACCTGTTAAGCTTACAGTATTATTTGCATTCATTTTTGCAATCAAAGCCTATATGTAATAGTAGAAGATAATCTTATAATAAATAATATAATAATAATAAAAAGAATATTTCAACAGGATAAAAGCTTCAACAAAAATATTGCTGGTTTCAATGCCTGTCCTGCTTACTAACAGTGCCGTCGAAACGAAATTCATATTAGGGGGACGCCCATTGTTTTCCTTCTCATTCAGTACACTGTTAAAAAGGAAACATACTACAGTTTGACAATTATTCCCTTCTCCCCCGGTTCCGACGGGCCTGACCAAATAGATGTATGGTACTGCAAAATTTGAAGATGGCACGAAAAAGTAAAACATAGCATACTGGAATACTTTTCGTCCAAAAACTCTTCTGAGCAAAAACGGCGGATAATAACCAAAAGAAGGCTGGAAATTGGAACCATGTGTTGATCGGAAATAACGTGAGAGGAAGAAAGTCGCATTTGATTGGTTATCTTGTTTTAACCAATCAGCGACGGCTAACCTCTCGCCTCTCACAAGTCGCGATCCTTTGTTTTGATGTAAACAGATTTCACTATCTAAGATTGTTATAAAGTTTTCAAAATAGACAGTGACAAATCTTTATTGTTTAAAACTAAATAAAACGTGCAGAAGCACATGATCATAAATAATATTACCTATACTTTTTGTTTGGTGTCAAAGGACCATTGCAGACATCAACAGGCTTCTTGTGACATCCAGTTTCTGTTCCGATAACAATACTTAGTTTTGTTCCGTTCAAACGAGATGCAGGGATGACAAGAGTAGCATAGCGACGAATCTTATTCAAAGCGGATAGTTCAGTATTCACTCTATACCAGGTAATCGGAGGCATGCTTGCGGCAACATTTACTATGGCAGGTGAGGAGAACATGTCTTAGAAATCGTTTAAAACAAAAGCCCGAATTGCAATTGATAAGGAAAGAATGAGAATCTAAATGCATTCAGCGAGAAAGTTCGTAACATGAAAGTCAGCAAAATGAGAATAACCATTTAGGCTTAACCAGTCAAGAAACCAATTTTGAGCACACAGTTGCTTTTTGAACTATTGATGGGTGAGTTTTTGGTTCAAAACAGTAGTAAACGAGATCACAAAATTAATAAATATACTCCGGCACTTTTTTTTATTGTACTTCATAAGTAGTCTGTTGAAATTTATCGTCATCTGAATCGCAGATTAAAGGTAAATCCTCCTTCTAAAAACTAGTGTACTTCAAATTAATGTCATATGTAAGAAAAATAACTCAGGATGGGCGATAGAGGGGCCAAGGGGAAATAAAGTGCCGTCTCACAAAAGGGTCCTTGACATCGGTCTTATGAAGTTATCAAAGGGATTAATATCAAATTTTGACTTTAGTTAATGATTGATAAGGAAATTTCTTAAACTCGTAAAAAATTGCTCATGCCAAAAGTTAGCATATTCTTATAATACCTACAGAAAATCGAAATAAAGAGACAGTAACGATTAGCAGAAGCTGGGGATCATTTTCAAATGCCCTTTTACTGAAGACTGCACCCTTGCCTCTTGGTCGTTTTGGCGTCCCTGAATAAATGTGACTTACATTTAGGATAATCGGGCTCAAAGAGTTGAACAAGAATTCGGTAGTCCGTGATCTTTAAGTAGGAAAACTCAGATACATCAACAGTAGCCTCTAATGACGTTGTTCCAGCCTTCAAATTTGTAAGCCAAATAGCAGGCGTTTTGGTGACATGAATATTCAATACTGTACGATTTGAGATTGCTGGTGGGTTGAATCCATCCTTGGCAACAACTTCGAGTTTGAACATATTAATGAATGTAGTGTTTAAGAATTTAGTTGTCTCGACAATGCCTGCAGTAATAAAAGAAAAAACATTATTGTCCTAGGACACAATTTCATTTCATTCATTCAATCGGATATTATTATCAAAGAAAATAAAAGCGACAACCAAGAAACTCAGAAAACCCTAATTCCACAACTGATTATAATTTTCTAATATTTTTCTCAGCACCCTTGTTTCGTCTTACATTCTACGACATTGAATTTGGCTTAAAGCAAAAGTGCTCGATAATGAAAACAAAAGTTTTTTGAAAAGTTTCAATAATTGCAATGAAGCTGTGGAATAGCAAAAAACATCAAAACTTGTAAAATACAACGCAAAATACAAAATTGTTTGAAAACTAATAAAAACAAATCTCCTTACCGCTATATTTTCCAATTCGGAATTGCCCATCTACATTTCCACTGACGATCTCATACGTAATCCTTTTCGCTGGGCCAATATCAGGGTCTGTGGCAATCATCTGAAACATTGTGACGTTTGCATACACCATATCTTGCACTTGAGTATCATAACTGCTTTGTGAGAAACGAGGTGCATTGTCGTTGACATCGGTTACTTCAATATCCACCTTTGAAACAAGCAACAACATTATCAACTATAACTTTCAAGCCTAGTATTTGTAAATACCTGCACGATTTTGACCCTTAATCTCAATTAGATATTTGTATACCCCTACAAGAAAACCAACATTTAAATCTGAATGCCAGTCAATGGCCGAAAAGTGTCGAAATCATCGAAATCATTGAATCTTACTTTTGGATCAATTTTCCTATCAAGAGTGTCTACATGCAAAGGGTAGATTCATAATCTTTAGGAGAGAACAAAGCTAGTAAACGTTATGAATTTCCTTTGCAGAATTCCTTATCAAGCTTCCTAGCTCACTTGTCTCTAATCAACTAAGGTGCAGGACATAAGGTTTCACTAAACTGTGGTCTCCAAGAAAATAAAGTTAAGATTGACAAAGCGGCAATTCATTATTAATTCTCTACCAGCTTATGACGTTACCTATATCAGACAGAAACTGCATAAAAAACCTATTTAAACAATAATGGATCTAAGCATTTGATAAATCAGAAATCAACCGAAGCACTTCATGTCTTGAGTTTTTATTGGTTTAGTTGGTAACAAAACGATAGCTGCTGTAGTAAATAGAAAACGGTCATAGAATTAAAGTTCTTAACACTCATCTTTAGCTTTGTATATTCTAAGCTATTTTAAAACCCACCAGAGCAGATTTCTCAAGTGATGGAATTCCATAATCTTTTGCAATGACAGTGAAATGGTATTTCGATTGCACTTCGTAATCCAGCCGCTTCTTCAAAACGAGGACCCCTTTGCTTTGATTATATTCAAATATTGATCTGGCTCCATTCTCGACAATGCTAACACTGAAATTTCCATTTTGTCCTTCATCAGGGTCTGTCACGTTCATGAAAAGAATTGTCGAGCCGACAGGAGTATTTTCAGATATTTTAGTCGAGTACTTCTCTAGATTGAATCGTGGGGAATTATCATTTTCATCTAAAATATGGATGTCCAGCCGGAAAGGTGCCACTGCTTCTAGCTGGGGACTTCCCATATCTTTGCAACTGATAACAAGACTGTAGAAGACACCTTTTTCACGGTCCAGTGGTTTCATTGCAATAACGTTTCCTGAAATGTACAAGCACGATTATTGCCAAGTCTTGGAATACCAAAATCAATACACAGTTTTTAACCAAACTAATTTGAGTATAAAATGGCATTCTTGATTGGTTCCTTGCTTTGAATAATAGCTACTAGTCCAACAACGGCGTAAGTTACTGAGTTGAAACTGGCGCTTGGAAAAAACTGATGGGAATGGGCGTGTGGGGGGTTGATATGCTCCTTTTTTTATTTATTGCTGTCAAGAGCGAGTTAGAATAGCCAATAAGAATACATCTCTAGTCAGAACGTAATGAGCTGTGCATGCACAGCGAGCCTCGATGCTACGAGGAGGCTCGAAGAACTCAAATCGGAGTTCGCTGAGTCTTCTCTAATTAGGATTTATCGCCTCACAATTAAGTAAGTTACGCTGGCACCATAGGTTTTGCAAATTCAAGCTAAGATCTTAAAGCAGGCCATTCGTTTAATCTAGAAACGTATACATGCATGCCGGTAAAACAGTTACAAACCTGCAACGGGATCTACGACAAACGTATTCCCATGATTGCCAGATTGCAGATAATACCTCAGCTCTGCATTCAAGCCAGCGTCAGCATCTGTTGCTGTTACTTTGAATATTTCGCGATTGACTTGTGACGATTCAGTGACATTAACAGCAAAATAAAGCTGCTTAAAATAGGGTCTGTTGTCATTGACATCAAGTACGTTAACTGCGACAAGTGCTTTGTCTTGAAGAGAGGGTATCCCATTATCCTTTGCAATAACAGTAAATCTGTACAAGTTTATTCTTTCGTAATCCAAGGATTTGTTTAGTTTTATTTCCCCATTCGTAGAACTTATTGAAAAAGTCTCGATTTGAAGTGCCTTTTCTTCCATTGCATAACTAAGTAAACTTTCTGCAAAACATAAAAGTAAATCAAAGCATCTGCAAAAGAATAGGAGTTTGAAACCAAACAAGAAATGGAGAAGGTTGTCTTCCTTACATGTGACACGACAATAAAACAGTGAGATACTCCATATGAATTACCATGTAGCTGTTGAGTGTAAAAATTTATTTAAAATTAGAAAACAGAAAGAAACTGTTAACTGTGAAGGAGTTAACATAAGAAAGAGCTCCTTGATGATGGAAATACTGAAAAGTAGAGGAAATTTTGATTCCAGCTACGTTGAGAAACGTACACTAACCTGGCTGTCCCGGGGCGTCATTATCCTGTGCGTGAACAGTCAATATAAGTGCTCCGACAGTTTGGTTTTCAAAAACATTTACAATATAGTTCCCTTTGTCAAACTTTGGACTGTTGTCGTTTGCATCAGTGATGCCAATCACAACAACTGCCGTCCTTATTGAATACAATGGTGGTTTTCCATTATCTCTAACTGAAACTGTCAAAGTGAAAGTTTTATTTTGCTCATAATTCAATGATTTTTTGTTCTGGATCATTCCATACTTTGTAATTCGAAACATATTTGCCGGGTCACCGCCAACTATGCTGTAAGTCAAATCAGCATTCGATCCTGTATCGTTATCTGATGCAGCAACAGCTATAATAGATGACCCGGGCAGTATCGTCTCTGATACATTCACAGAATAGTAATGTTTGTTAAAGACTGGCTTGTGTTCGTTAATGTCCAGTATTTTGATTGACAGCTCAGAATACGTGCTATGTGATTTGTCAGAAGCTTTTACGAAGATGACGTAAAGATCCCTTGTTTCCCTGTCGATTGGAGCATCTAGCGTTACATAGCCGGTTGTAGGGTTGACAGAAAATACACTTTTAGCAGAACTTGGAATAAACCAATATTTAATGACAGAATTTTCACCAATATCCCTGTCTGTTGCAAGCACCCTTGCAACCGTTGTTCCAATCGTTGTGTTTTCGTAGATGAACGATTCGTACTTAGATTGAGTGAAAATTGGTGAGTTGTCGTTGAGATCGTCGACAGTAATGTTGATTTGCTGGTATTTGATTGATAACGCTTCCAAGTTCGTTGCTTTGACGGTAATGGTATAATTAGCCAAGATTTCTCTGTCTAACGGAATCTTTCGAAATAAAGATGTTCCTGTTCTTGAACTGGTAGGATTCAGATAGAAGGTATTGTTCACATTCCCTAAAAAGACATTGCAATATCAGTTTTCTATATGTATGCCTTCTTGAAAACTGATGTTGCTAAGTATGGAAATATTTTATCATCCTGTCGTGAAAGTATTTTTGTTTGCAAGATCCTGAGAGTCTACCCGTCAATCACTATTCCCGTTAAATTCTGATCAAAAATTAATAAAAATGATGGATGCAATCGATTGATAGATTGACTTCTTTAAGACCTATTATTATTGGAGTTTTCGTTGGGTTCTGTTCCACGTGGGTTTTTAGTGACTTTAGATATCTCAATAAAAAAATTCAAACAATCGTCTTGTTGTTCAAGTAAGAAGTAACATTTTAAAGAGTTATGTTGCTTTATAGATGCAAGATGGCAAAATGAAATAGCATAAAGAATACCTGAGACAATCTCAAATGACATCATCGCAAATGCATTGTCAAGACTTCTTGCTCTTGCCTGGATGTACACAATGCTCGTGCTATTAGGCCCATTTTCAGGTGTAATCAAATCATAATCGCTGGCTTGATTCATGAAAACTGGAACTGGGTCTAAAAGATAAAATGTATTGTGAATATGAGCAAGGGAACACATGACCATCGTGCTTTTATAAAGGGATATGAAAGATGAGAAGGTGGTGGGATTGGCTGGGGGGAATGCTTCGACCTATGATTATGACGAAGTCTTTTCTTGGAGTATATAGCAAGTGATAAAAAGACACTTTTGGAGGTATTCTTTTGGATAAGAGAGAAGAACTGATAAGATTTTTCTCACCATAAACAGTTAATTTTGCTATATTAGATGTCACTCTAATTCCGTCTTGTGAAGCTGCACAAATATACTCTCCTGTATCAGAGACCTGTGTGGACGCTATTTGTAGGCTTTGCGAAGTTGCACCAGGTAATGGCTGCAAAAATAAATAAACAAAAATAAAAATATTTCCACTAAATTTTTTCAATTAATGAAATCACACCCACAAATATGATTATGTTAATAAATGAACAGGAAGAAGAAAACGAGACATATTAAAATCATAGCCCTTCAGTTTCTCTTGGAAAGACAGAAGTATTAAAGGGCCTTTCCAGCCAAAAAAAATAATTTTTTTATTGACTAAAAAGTTAGCATCTGGTGCATGTATTATGGCAAAGTCGTTTAAAGGCTTTAAAGTTGCACCTTTCCGACAAAAAAACGACAAAAGCCGAATCAGTTTAGTGACATTCTGACGTCACAGTGTGCGGCTCTCGCTCGCCATGAATTTCGTCTATCTTCCACCGAATCGTGAAGGAGTCATGGTCACGCGTTGATAACTGCATCTAAATCTAGAGCAGGAGCTTTTTAGGATCGAAAAATATTAAATGTTTACAATCATTCTAAGTTTACGGGTCGGAATGTGTCCATGCTGTGTCACGACTTTGTTTTGATCACCTGTGTAGGCCTACAAAGCTACGGCTTCCTGTTCCAGCTCTTCCCTCGCGTATAATTAATCGAAATTGACACTTCAGTTGTTCTCCAGAAACGATGAACAACTAAAGGCTTCAGAATTGATATCTGAAATGCTCAAACTAAAAGCCGGTGGAACAGAACTGAGAGTACCATTACTTGCAGGGTTCAATTTGCGAATCGCCGTAGTTCGATTCGGTTTGAGGCGAGACTAACGAAATACACTGTGACGTCAAAATTGCGACACAGTGTCACCAAACCGAAAATTTTTGTCGGTTAATTCAATTCAATTATCGAAATGCAAAAGCTTATATCTCACAAACTGTAAAAAATATCGAAAAACAAATAACTTTAGATTAGCTCCTTTAGATTAGCCAATAAAATGCAAATGCAAAATTTGGCTGGAGAGGCCCTTTAAGGATTCAAGTAAAGTGCTTCAACTCAATGTCGATTAAGGTGTTGTGATTTCATAAAACTCGTACACATATACCAAAATATTATTGCTGTTTTGGTATTATTTTCAGGTTTTTGACATATCACCATATTATATCGTACCGCATCGTATCGTATCGTATCCTATCGCATCGCATCGCATCGCATCGCGTCGCATCGCATCGCATCGCATCGCATCGCATCGCATCGCATCGTATCGTATCGTATCGTATCGTATCGTATCGTATCGTATCGTATCGTATCGTATCGTATCGTATCGTTAGTAGCAATCAATTTAAGAATAAAAGCCGACATGCTTAGCCTGTTTGACAAAGCATTGATTACCACTTACCTGTCTTGAGCAACATACGCTGACATGTACATGAAGTGATATTATTTTCTAGTGATACAAACCTAAAACGTGCATGGAAAATATCATAATTAATATACAATTTGTTAATAGGCCTTTGAGCTAGTACCTGATAATTCTTAAGCCAACTGTATGAAACAGACTGGCCTACAGCTTGGCACTGCCAGCCAACCGATTTCCTATAGCTTGTGCGGAGATCGTCTGGATCAAGCTTTCCTATGATGTTTGGTCCGTTGTCGGCGCAGGGAGGAACGCGGAGGTTTTTGCCTTTAATTTAGAAGTAAGGAGCATCAATGAATAAATTTTAATTATATTTGAAACAATATATCTTGGGTGAAGTGAACATTCATATTTAATGTAATTTCTATATTTGTCACACAAAAAAAACAAAAATCGTTTGCAGAAAGCCTTAGAATTGTTTTACTAAAAGTGCTACTTTCAGTTCAACCATTAAAGTTAGATTTACAAATTTAGCTAAGGTAATTTGGGACATGAAATTTTAGAAAATTATCACTTAGAAATTAAAGAAATTTTTCTTTAAATGGGCAGATTTAAATGTCCAAAAATGCTTTAGATGTAGCCCTTATAAAATCTGGTGTTATTTTCTTCATCTTTTAGAAGTATTTGAGCGTTGTCCAAACTAATAAACGTTTTCAAACTTAATCAGAGTTTTTGAAAGATAATCCAATCCAACAGACTTACTTGTTTTGACGATTGAATACGTGGAGTCGATGCCTATGTCTACGGTTGCGGTTCTGCTAGCAAACATAACAAGCTTTAATTGCGTCCATTTTTGCAAAAACAAACTGCCTGAAATTAGCAGTGTTTCTGTTACCAATCCATTTACACTCGTACTTGAATAGAGTCTATTTTCTCGCTTCAGGAAACCATCCAGCAAGACTCCAAGTGACAGAGTTACTTCAGTAGAATTCGTGTTTAAACTGACAATAATTTGCGAACTCACATAATAAACTCCAGTTTCCGGAACTAAATATGATATGCGATCATGAAATCCCGATCCTGATTCAAACAGCCAATCTTTACCAAGAATCGTCCATCCCGAAACAACACTCGCCTTACCTGGAAACAATGTCAATGACTTCGTTGCACTTTGCGTCGCAGTGAATCCGATGACACTTGTTCCGAGAAATATTGCTGATTTTGATGATCCGGATAATATTTCGAAATCAGAATCGGTCTCTGAGAAAACGGTCACTGTATACGATGAGCCGGAGTTGATTTTCATGCACCCGGTAACAGACAAACTGAAGATAGAATTAGAATCTTGTTTCAGCATCGATGTTATCGATGGAATGTTTACAAGTGATGTAAATGCCTTTGTCATTCCAACAAGATTCCTGAACTTAATGGTAATTGAAACAAAGTAGATACCGGAATTCTGAATATAGAAACTGTCCATATTTCCTGTCGAGCCAAAGAAGTTTCCGGACGCGGGCGAGAGTTGCCATCCTGTGATTTGTTTGTTTCCTTTCACTTTGACAGTTTGAACTGATGTCAACTGACCAAACATACCATTGGGCAATGGAAAGGACTCAGCGACAAATGAGATAGAAAACATGCTTGAATTCTTGATTTTAAGTTGCAGTGCTTCGTTCGACTTCACAAAAACTGCAACAGTATTGAGTGTCGCTAATGAAAACACGCCACTAGTAAACAACACACAGCTTTTGTTGCACTTAGAATTTACAGTGCTTAGGCCATTTCCTGGCCTTGTTGTCGTTATATTGGTGTCATCACCATTAACAGAGATCTTCATTTCAACTGATGGACTTGCTTTTGTTGACTCTGTTTCTAAAAATCCGCTTATAATAAATACCCCGCTATTCTGAACCTTGTAAACGCCTGAAGATTTTGAAAACCCATTCCCGAGTAGCAGCTGAGTGTTGGTGAGAGATGTCTTCCAATTATCCACTCTTCGCCATGTTCTATCAATGATATTAATACATATATGTATGTATATATACAAATAAATATGTATCAAGCATCCTTTTAGCACAGAAAATTATCGCTCTGAATTTAAACGCAATGTTTTAAGTTCAAGAATATCCACATAACAAGATGAAAAGAATAAATCAATTTTTTCATACAACTAGCATTTTAAATAGATACTTAGATACTCTTCAGAAAAAAATATATCAAATTTTAGAAATCCCTTGAAAGACACACAGTAACCTTCAATGTTCTATGTGGCACTGGAAAATGTCGAAAATGCTAAAATGTTACGCAAAAGAAGGAAGAAAATATCGTTGTAATTTAAAAGGAATGTATGAATATATACTGAGAGATGAGTTACACGACCAGGTCCGGACTAGCACCGATGACGAATGACACGGTACATCGTTTCTCTACCGAATAGGTTACCCGGTCCCGTAGCTCATGCATCGATCCTGACCGACTACCAGTTGGTAGAGCAACGACATGCAGAGTCGATGGTCATGGATTCGAGTCCGGTGTTGGTCGTGTTTTTGACTCACATTTTCTCTCAAAGATCATATGAAACCATCACTAACCAAACAAAGCCATTAAACAAAAGTATGCAGAGCAATATGTTGAAGACTACAAAGAAGTCAAATAGATAAATTACTCTCGCTGTAGTGAGATAATGCTGTCCTTCGTTGTTCCTGATGACACCAAGGTTGGAATGACAAACGGGCCCAATTTGACAAATGATAATCCACAATGCATGACATCTTGCTCCCAATTCATCTTCAAGGGAGCTTTCACCTGTGTGAAATTTGGTACAACTTGAAAATAAAGCTTGAATCCCACACGAAGCCGTGAACTTTCACAAAGAAGTCAATACCAGCTAACTTCTTAAGATCTTTGCATGCAAGGATAATTTTTTTAAGGCTCTAAAATTTTATCGTGTTCAAAATAAATACATTATCTAGAGATAAAGAAGGAGTATCCGATATCTATATCAGAACTAGGCAGAAGATCTCACTAAAGAAAGTTTACCAGCTATCATGATCGCAATGCAAATCATACCTGTACTGATAAAGTTTGCCCCTTTGCAATAAAGAGCATTCCTGTCACTTTCACAGTGTAGCTGGAAAGCCTTGAATCAATCACCGAATATAGGGCAGCCAGACGAGACTCAAGATGAATTCCTATAAAATTAAACGCTTTGTAAAACAGGAGATGATTTAAAACTCTATTGTTATCCAAAAAATTAAGTCTCTGATGATACTAGTATGCCATTAAGATATCGAGAAAAGAATTTATAACCATGGCCAACCACAATATAGCCTAGGGATTGATAGGTGAAAGAAAGAGAATGGAAAAGAAACGAAGAAGCATTAGATACGTTAAAAATGAGTCTAGAGAGTTATAAAGAAAGAAAGATTATAGAGAAAAAATATTATCACAATATAGATGAAGAGGAAAGAAGATAAGTGGACAAGAGAAGGAAAGGTGAAAAATGAGAGAGTCGATTAAGAAAAAAACCAAATATAAGTGGAAACAGAATGAAAAAAACAAAGAGAAGAAGAAGACAAAGAAAAAGGGAAAACGAACCAAAGGGAAGAAGAAAATATGACGATAAGGAAAAGAAAGAACAAAATTGAAAATGATGTAAAGGAAAAGAAGAACAAATAAGGAGAAGGAACAAGAAAGTGAACAAAAAGAAGAATAAAACAATGACAGAGGGGAGAAAAACGAACAAAGAGAAAAAGAGCAAGAAGAAAAGAAGGAGAGAAGGAAGAAGAAAAGGAAGGAAGAAGAAAAGGAAGAAAGAAGATACAGGTAGAAATAGAAGAAGAAGAAGGCGGAGGAAAAAAATAAAAGAATGAGAAGAAGAAGAAGAGAAAGAAGAAGAGGAAGAAGTGAAAGAAAAAAAAAGAAGAAGAAGAAGAAGAAGAAGAAGAAGAAGAAGGAGAGGAAGAAGAAGAAAAAGAAGAAGAAGAAGAAGAGGAGGAAGAGGAGGAAGTGGAGGAAGAGGAGGAAGAGGAGGAAGAGGAGGAAGAGGAGGAAGAGGAGGAAGAGGAGGAAGAGGAGGAAGGATAAGAAGAAGAAGAAGAGGAAGAAGAAGAGGATGACAAAGAAGAAGAAGGTGACGAAGAAAACAAAGGAGAGGGAAACAAGGGTATCATTGTATTGAATATATCTGTTCGTACACTATAGCAACATTTCCTTACCAACTTCAAATTTTCCAACGGCATCCTTCAAAGTTATTGATGCTGATACAAAATATAGGCCAGACTGCCTTATAACAATGGTACCACTTGATGAAGAAAGTTCTTGGTAGTCCCCTGAAGGGTAAATCAAAGAGCATGGTCACAAAAAAGAAAATATTTCTACAAATAAATTCCTAATTCTTAAAGCTATTAGTATTGATGAATTGTGATGCAAATATCACTACACTACTCCATTTTCTTGGCTAAGCATTTCGCAAAAAACGACCATCCCGGGGCAAGCGTTGCGTCTTGTTTTGCTTTGTTGATGGCCCTTCCACTTTGCAAAATCTTACTGTTTATTGAAAACCTTCAAAGCTATCTTGAAAATTACCTAGACTAAAAAGCCCTGCCTCTGTACTGCTTCTAGTCGTGGACCAGAGCCTAACAATCTTCCAGTTAGTTGCTCCAGTAACTGTCTGTGCTATTCCAAGACTCAAAACAGCTTGCAATCCAGAGGAATCAAATGTATTCTCCGGATGAAGCATTACTGCACTAAAACTGCTGTCTTCGCTTAACTGCCATGACCCAGCGGAGGTCGACTTTATCCACAAGGTGATACTTTGGTTTGCCTGTAGTTTGACAACGCCAACAGCATTCATCGAGTAGAAATCCCTGAAAAGGCATACTTTGCTGCTATTTCCAATTTGACTAAGATTGTTACAAAAAATAGTTGAAAACGATCAAGCTCAGATAGCAAAATCTAAATTTCGTGACAATCGATAAGAAAGCAAATAATAAATAATGGCAATCAATAATGGGTTTTTCATGTTTCAACATTGCAAGCTCATGATATAGATAATGAAACAGCTACAATAAGATAATAAACAAGGAAGTAACTGCAATTAGTTTACACGATAACGTGAAACAAACTATACTGCTTAACGCTACAGACCGATGCAAAGCTCAGTTTTCACGATGCAACTTTCATTCCATCTTTAGTTTGAGGCATTTGCATAAGTCAAAAAAGCGTTAGCTAAACAAATATTGAGAGATATTTAATATAACATGTATATATTGACAATTACTGTTTACCGATCTGTCAAAAAGTGCTCGGCTTTATGCAGAAAAGTTATTAATATGGACCGTCTCTTAAAGAACAAAAAATCGTAAGGTAAATGGAATCTCAAAACATTGCATAAAGTTGCAATTCACAAACGTACTCGCTGCCGAGGCTAGTGCTTCTTGAAATATAGTCATTCATCCCGTTAAGGTATGAGAAGGATCCAGGATTGTTGTCGATTCCAATGTTGACAGTAAAATCGGCACCTACTCTTGTGGCGCTTTTCAGCTTCATGTTGGCGCTAACAACATACAATCCAGGTAGCGGTACTTGGTACTTGCAGTTAGCAGCATCTAAACCACCACCATAGTGGAACATTGTTCCAGACGAACCAGGTAATAGAAGCCCTTGCATCTGGTGCCAACCATCGCTAGTAAATGATCTGGTTGATGAGAATACGGCCGAAAAGCCTGGTACAGAGAATGGCATCCCAATAAATGCAAGTGAAAAGCTGCTCTTGTCAGCGACAGACCATGAAGAAGTGCCAGTAACTTTTGCCATCACTGATACAAAGTCTCCTACAAGAAACATAGAATGGCCAAAATAAGAGTGTTGCCAAATGAGACTCAAGAATTACAAAACCATAAAGAAAAATAGAGACTATTGCGGGAATATGACAAATTTTCCATACGAAAAAGACATTATGTTCAAGGCATACACAATATCAAACAGCTACAAAATAATGATACGGCAAAATATTTTTCTTATGTTTTACATCAACCATCTGATTACCATTGACATTCTAGTTTGTTTTTCATATATTTGTATATGTTATTGAGCATAAACAAACTCGATTGTTGTTCTTGTTAATAAATTGCTGTACGGATTGTCTTAAACTTACGTTCAGGTAAATAGTATTGTATGATCTAGTCAGTTTGTTAGCTTTTTGTCGATAAATTTATTGTTCTACAGTCTGAAATTATCTAATAGCTGTTTGAAGCATACATTTAACATGTACTTAGCTAGCTATGGATTGGAAATTAATCTTGAAATTTCGAAATCGTGCCTAATGATCAATAAATAAGCGCTAGATTGAAACTGGGATTGCAACAAACAAACCTCTCTGCAATCTTAGTGATCCACTGACAGTCAAAAAGTCGTTGCTGCCAGGGTTTCCTTTAGTTGAAAACAATGCATTGCGTTTAGATTGGTCCCCATTTGCAGCTATTAACAAGGATATGACACTTGCCGGAGCATTGAATATCATGTTGGCAGACACGTGATAAATCCCAGAGACCTCAGCTGAATAGCGACCATTCGTTGCAGACAACGATTTAGTGAGGGAAAATGAGCCTGACACCCTATTGATTTTCCAGGACGAAATTTCAACCCAAGCGTTATCTGATGACTGTGGGACCTTGAGAGAAAGAAAAAAGACCTTTAAGATTGATGTGACATTAATGTATATCATCTATTAAGTATCTTAGGACATGATATTTGTTATATTCAGAATATTTCATTTCATTTCATTTTTTACTACTAATTTCTGCAAAGTAGGCGTTCAATGTATAGCTAAATTTCGGCTAATTGATGCCAACCAAAACAAAAAAAGCAAGAATAATTATTGAGTAAGTAATATAAAACCTGTATATAGTTATAATGCATGTTTCCAGGCGAGCTTCAAATGCAATATGAACTTGTTTTACTAGTTTTACTAGTCCTGCATAATTAAAGTTGCATTCATGACCTCTCCAATCTTGTTTACGTTTTTTGCATTGATAATATTTAGAGACTGTTTGATGTCATTTAAGAGTCCATGCCACAATTTACATCCGAATATAGCTATACTCTCGGCTCAAAACCAGAGTTTCTGGGCTTTAGGCATTTGTAAGACCAAAAGGCATTTGTAATGATTTGCAAATATTGGAAGTAGGCTATCTTGGATATGAATCAAAACCACAGGGCATTCTCTACGGTAGACATTTACTCATTTCTTTTTAAATAAATTGAAGAAAATGAGAGTAAACCCATTGCAACAAAGCTTTGCATGCTTTATATCATGGTTAAAATTAAGGAAAATGATTCGGTAGGGTTCCACAAATATATAACAAATGTGCTGTGGAACTTGAAATTACTAATTTGAAAATTATCGCTGGATTGCAAACTAGCCTCCATTTAGAATTGGCAGCAGGGTCACTGATCGACTTTGCAGATTGATCGATCATGTGATAAAGCAACCATGCAGCTTTTAGGGCCTCAAGCCTTGGCCTCAAGATATATAAATCATTGGACGTTGTCCTGTGATCTAAGGAGACCTACTGTCGCCACCTAAGTCTCTCCTCACATCACAGACTCTGGTACGGCACAAAACGAAAGATAACAACTGCAAAGAAACCAATTGAAGTACTTACATCCGCTTCTAGGGTTGCATGGAATGCCGGGTATCTCTCTTCGACTTTGATGATGGAAATCCTACTTCCAGCAAGTATTCTATACCTTCCAGAATTTTGCATGTATATAAAAAATGATAATTTGTTTTGTGATGCTAGCAGCTCAATTGTTCCAGCAGCATTAAAAGTAACTTCTTTTGCGTAGTCTGTTTTTGTTATGGTTGAGTAGACCCCAACAATGTTGCCAGTGAGTCTTGACGCAGAATCAAGGCGGGTGAAAATACAGGCAGAGATGAGACTTTCAGCAACAATGCGAATGTTTGCTGACACAATGTACATTCCATTCTCTGGGGGATAGTAGCTAAGAAATAAAACATGTTATGTCATGGAGCTTCCCCATTCATAATGCGATTACTTCAGAACTCAACACAAATAATGAACTTGCATAATTCACTATTATCAATTTGTCAGACAATTCATTGAGTTTAATAGACTACTGATGCTATTTCTTCAAAGGAAAAAGTGAGTATTGCACAAAAATTGAAATTTTATATTTTAGATTTTGTAGGTTATACTTCAATTTTTAAACTTAAATTGCTTTCAAAACATTATTCGCCCTTGGACACGTGTCATTTTTGATCCGCAGCTTTATACTAGTTTTTGTAAAAACAAACGTCGAAGGTTTTTGTATAATGTCAATGAAACTACTTCAGTAAAATGCGTCTCCTGTTTGCTATTTTAAAATTTATAGTATGAAAAGCTATTTGGTAAAAATAATTTTTGTTGTAAAGCAGAAAATACTAACCTGCCACCGGTTATATACTTTGTTTCGCCTTGAAACTGCCCAAAAGAGGTACCATTGGGTTTTTGAAGGGAAATTTGTGTCCAGCGGGCACCTTCTCCGTGTATATCATGCTGAAGTACTGTTGAAAAGCCTGGAAATACAAGGAAGCAGAAAATGAGATAATCTAAAGCAGTAGAAACATCAGAAATATTTAAAAATAAGCTAACTAAATATCTATCACTGTGCTACAGTTATGTCATATGTGGCATTAGCAAATTATCAAGCTTATCCGATAGGATCTCTCAAAATTGCCCATAAAATAGCCTGGAATTATCAATGTTAGAATCAATAACAACTCATATGTAACCAGCAAACCACTAATGAAGGTGGGTCACTTTTCCAAGCAGTTACTTATCCGACTGTTTATCCTCCCGACTGAAGTGATAAAACATAACGATGGTTTACGACGGCTTGTGAAGTGGGAACAATTGATTATATTATTTGAATAATGCGTTATTACCTGGAACTGTAGCGCTATCACTTCTAATTCTTGTTGCTGTAAAGGCACTTTCGGTACCGACAGTAAAAACTGAGCCTTGTGAGTTGATTTTAAGAGAAACAAGTTGTCCCTTTCTCAGTGAAATAGAAACCGATATTGAAAGAGTGAATTCTTTAAAAGCAGGATTCCTTATGATGCTGCCATTTACGATCGAATCCACTGCGATGCCAAGATCAAAGTAATTTGTGGCATCAGTTTTTATGTGTACATTTGCGGTGATGATATAGATGCCATCACAAATTGCAGCAAATTCACCAATATGCTTGGAAAATCCAGTCATGCTCTTGAACAGCCCAGGCTCACCTTCATAGTGCCAATATTTCAAACTGTTCCAGCCCGAGCTATTGTAGTTAGTTGTTCTTTCGATAATCGCTGAAAATCCTGGGGCAACTCCTAACGCCTCAATATACTGCAGGAAAGAGTTGTTTCTGATTGGCCACTAATTGACCAATCAGTGTCTATCTCGGAGTAAACATGCACAGAAACATAATCACTGGCTTGAAGCAATATGGCTCCTTTGAAGCTGAGACTCTTTGGTCCTAATGGGCCACCAAGAGTCGACGAACTCATGCCACTATGACTGCTATTGACTTTATCATTGACCAACAATTTGACTTTAAACCTGCCTTCAATATTTGCACCTGTTAGGGTAACTGTGACATAAGCCAAGTAGATCCCACTGTGTGGTACAAATACATCAGCATTCTCAGGGGCTTTTAACTTTGTTCCAATTACTGCATGACCGGAGTCAATCGGGCTCTGCCAGCCTTTTATTTTGTACCATCCTGTCGATTTGACTGGAATGTTCGAAGGCAGGTTGAGACTTACTCCTGATTGTCGCAAGCCTGTTAATAACAACAAAACATCAAAGTAAACACGATAAACTAAAGTAAGCAACAGATAATATTAAACTGGGAGTTGAAGAATTCAGCAGATTCAGCAGTTCTCTAATATTGCAAAGTTGATACATCAATCACTACGCGACAATCAAGAAAAGGAAAACCAAAGAAAAACTTCTGCTACCTTGTCTCCTTCGAATTTGACGAAATTTGATATTCAGTTACAAATGACTTCCTACTCTGTGCCATGACTCGACAACAAAGATCGAGCTTTTAAAATGGGGTAATAAGACAAACTGGATAGGACTAATTGAACGGTTATCAATTTCAAAGTTTCGATTAGTTTTATCAATTTCTAAGCTATTCTCCTTTCATTCGATGTTAAACAAAATCATCAAAGGATGCTCCTAGATGCTAAAACAATACTTCATTCAATCGTACTCTAAGATGGTCGTTCTCTAAATAGAAGTACTCACCAGTCGAAATGACGTATACGAGAATTATCATGAACAAAATTGAACAAAATATTATGCACTACATTATTTTACGGAAGCATAATAACTGAAATTTGCTTCTTACCTTCGCTGAGAGGCAGAACATGGGCGAAAAACAACGAGAACAGCGCCGTGTATAACATATCCCGAAAGACAATTTTACTTCATATTTTTGTGTCTGTATCAGTGAGGCTTCGTAAGATTTAAACGCTGGTTGCTATTGTGTCCTAGCGACCGGAGATGCAAATTTGAAACAGGTTAGTCGATTGTCGCTGTGATTGATATCGTTATCCCAATGTATTCAGCATTCATGGTGACATATTCCTCCTTGAATTTGATTTGAATAAGCATGATTTATTGAAAGGCAAAGCAGGGCATATTTATGAGTCACTATGAATTTATTTTGTGAAAACTAACGCAGAGTGCTTTCCAAACAGAGACAGTAGTACTTTCTCAGAAATGACGCAAGACAGTGCCTCCAAATATTGCAAGAAAGATCAGATTAAGATATCGAAGAGAAACATACCAACGGCAAAAGCATTGCTTTACTGAATTGTTGATTAATTAACATCTCTAGACAAGTAATTCTTATGATACTTTGCCATAATTATCTTTGATGTCATACACATGGAGAGAGATGAAGCCCTTCTGTCCGCTCTTCTCCTCATTTCATATTTAATCGAACAAAAGGTGGGGAGAGATGAAGCCAGCCCGCCCCCTCCTCTACAGCTCCTGCATATCTGAATCATGCCCATCGATAACAGGCTTCTACATGTTGGGCTCTCCAAAGGTTTCCGTTGGAATGCGGTAAATATTGACATAGATAAGTGCACATTTATCGTTAGCTCTATGCGAAAACGCATCAGTTACATTGTAACAAGATAATGTCTGGTTTTTTCAGAATCGTGCAATTTGCCCCAGTACACTTGAAATAGAAGCTTTATTCTTATAAAATCTTAAGAGTAGGGAGCACTGGAACTAGTGACGTAATTGTGATTCTTGCACAATGAAGATTTTTCTAAAAGCTCTGTAATTTTGTAAAAAAACGCTAAATTCCAACAGCGTCACGGGGGATTAAACAATCTATGGAATTAACATTCATTTCTTGCTATTAAGATTTTTATCGGTATTGATGTCATAGAACATTCAATACATTGGCCCCTAGTCTACGTATACTTTAAGCATGGAAAATTTGTTATTTTATTCTACGTGTAATATGTATGATCATATAGCTTGGAAATCAATGATTCTACTCTTGACTATGCATCAAGAAACTAACTAGAGTAGAAGCCCGCTTGTTAAAAATGTCTTTTGGATGGGTGAAAGAAAAATAATCTAAAGGTACGGTGTAAAATCAAAACTATTTAGGAACAATAACAAAAATCTCTATGGGCAAATGCAAGTAAAATTGCAATGACGTTATCATTTCTACTTAGCCTTGCGAGCCAAGTCAAAAACTATATGTATATATTTTCATCATTAGTTTGTTTTAGAAATACCATTAAGAAAAAACAATGAGGATAAATGAGATGCTATTGATTTATATCTACATATGCCTGCCAAAGCCCGTTTCTTCATTTAAATTTAATGTTAAACTGGATTTTTTCCTGCTATAACTTAATTCATCATAATGTACTTTTTATTTTAACTTTTCGCTTTGACATGAATTAGTCTCCAATATTTTACTTTAGGTATAGTAGTCAAATATGGCCTTGGGGTGATAAGAGCACTTAATTAATTCATTTAGACCTATGTTAGTTGATATAGTTAGTTGAATGTGGGGTGTATTTTGACGTCCAGTGATAACCAAAATTGTGCAGTGATAAATCGTAATTGTGAAGTGATAAACTCATATCTTGTGCAGTGACAAAACTAGAATAAAGAGATGATACATTGAAATAGTAAAATTGCAGCAACTACCAGTAGACATTAAAATAAGAGGATTGCAGTATTAAAAACGTAAAGATAACAGTACCAATCATCATAATCTATGAAATTTCTCTAAAATTTGTTCAGAATCTAGAAGCTATCTAGTTTGTTTTGTTCTTCATCTTCTCATTTGAGATCTTTGTTCACGAAAACAAGTTTAAACTTAGACTACTTTTCCTCATCAAAATCTTTTGTAAGGCCTTGACGAGGGCTGATGTAATTCGAAAGCTTCGCATACAGTTAATTTGATTGGTGTAGTCATGAATATTTTTAAAAGGTAACACCCGAATTTTCGAACACTTTGAATATGTGCAGTGATAGAAATTCCTTAAAATGGGAAATATAAAATAACATAGTCTGCATGTTATGAATGTCTGCTCTTAGTTCATGACACTTAATTAACATTCTGTGTATCAACAAAGCGTTCGAGTGTCGAAGCTTGTGTTAAAACGATTTATCATGCAGCTTAGCCAATGACCGTCAAATCAACCAATCTCTTTGAATAATTGATTATTTGTATTAGCATTTTGCGGGGGAAGCGCAAGACAGATTCTGTTGAGTAGAGGCAAAGCATAGCAGGTGCTCAGATGGAGATGGCAGAAAGCTTGAATGAAGCGTTGCAAGAGAGAGCGAGATCAAACGGATCAAACAGCAAAGTTGCAAGATGGCCATGAAGTCAATAACACTGCTCTCTTTGGGTTTACTTTTCACGTGTACGTAAATTCTTTTTTTCAATTTTCAATTCCTTTTGTTAAAATAGCAGTAAGGAAGGTGATTTCGATCAAATTTTCTGTCACATCGGAAACTGTGACAACAAGAAACTTCATACTTGTGGCAACTATTCACGGCAGGTCTTTACTCGTATGACTGCAAGACTTCGAATGACTTCATTTTTTCAGTGCAGAATCATAGTTAAACTTCACTGATTTTATAGTGACATTTAGACTTTTTTCGACATTTTGATATATGTTGAAACCTTAGAAAACTTATATTCAGTTTTACCAATATATGTCATTTCTGATCCCAAGATTTTTAACCTTTGTTTTTCACCTTTTGCATATTTAGTCACATGGCACAGATAAAAAGAACCTGAATGTAATGCTATCTCAGAATGGGTAAAATGAACGTAAAATCCTTGATAACTGTGGAATTGCAGATTTAGATAGGTAGCAGCTCTAACTTCAAAGCAAAATTGAATTGTCTCGTCAATGAATACGCTATAGCAACAGATGAATATTGTCACAGAAAGAGGGAAGGTGTAACAAAATCATCTTTGCAAGAACTCGGGATGTAGAATGCAGATGGACAAAGGTACAACAACGAAGAGATCAAGATAGAATTAGAATGAACGCCTTATCTATCATTTCTTAAAGATATTTCTATAAGTTTAAAAGTATTGGCCGCTCTAATAAGTCATTTATTTAATAAGTTTATTTATTCAAATGCTACAAGCAAGCCCTCTAGTTTTATCTGGAACTGTGATATTTTCACACCGCCTTGATTGCAATCGAAACGAATAAAGGAACAAAAAAAGAAATGAATTTTGCACACATGCAAATTGCAGATTTTTCTAGAATCGTAGCAAAATACCAAAAAAAGCAATGAAAAATTACTGGAAACATGTTTTGATAAATGTCGATTAAATTAAAGCTAAATAAAATAGGTACAATGTTTTTTATAACTTTTTTGCTTTTTACAATTTACCTGACCTCGCAGTACGTGTCTATGATTTACAAGTGAAGTGAAGGCGGACCAAATTTTGCATAGCTCATGCTGGAAGAACTCTGTGAAGGTGTTACCAAAGGGACATAAGTTACCTTAACACTGCTGTTATTGATTGGAGTTCTTTCGTTTGCAGAAAGTTTTTCAACCAAATTCGATTGGTCATTATTTCATTAAGGCTTTTCTTTTTAGGTTGTACCTCCCAAACCATCATTAACAATGAGAAAAGACTTGTATGTCAACTGACATCACCAACGCAGTTTAACGTGACACTAAAAGACGGAATGAGGAACAAACAGGTCCGCTACCTTGGAAGGAGGGCTTCATGGAATGATTGCAGTGAAGCTGTCTGTAGTGTTCGTACAGCCGACTTTGCATTCATGCTCTCTGATCTCTGCTATGCAGTCACGTGCCTTAAGAAATGCGAGGTCATTGATGATATGCCAAGAGAGCAAACGAGGCTGATCGGAATATCAAGATCGTGTAAGTTTGAAACTTAAAGCAAGTTTAGATAAAAATATTCCAAAAAACTAATTACGAATTACATAGATGTCAATGCATGGCTTTGAAATCTTGAGTAGCCACCAGAGAATAATATTTTTGACAAATTAACCTGCTGGTAAAAGTACAAGAAAATTAGATGTAGATGCCCAATGCGCGTTCTATACGCTTCTCAGTGCATGGCGTCTGTGCGAAGGGAGGGGGGGGGGCACAAAGTTGTGCACATTGGCTAACAAAGAGAGGGTACATTGCATATAGTGTAAAACCTAATTTGCATCATCAACCCAGGTACTCTCAAGACAAACTCTCAAAAATGGTTGCATCTGAAATATTTAAACAACACTGTTTATTCCATTTAGTGACAAATTTGGTCATTGTTTGCTTCATAGCTTCACCTGAAAAGATACTTGCTAAATAACAACGGATTTTATTAAGAAAAATAGCGAATTTATTAACGAAGTTTCGAGCATCGCTCTACAGAGAATAATCAACGATGTTCGGTATAATCAATTTGAAAAACTGATATAAAAGACTGGATCGAGCTTTTCGATCCCAGCGTTTATTCCACATTGCAGCGTCCATGTTAGGACCTCACCGTGTTGCTTGAAACTAAAGAGCAATCATGTTGATTTTAGTTAACTTGTTTTTTGATGGCAAAATTCAAAACAACCTTTGAAAATAGAGCTTGCAGCATTCATAAGAGACTTAAAATACTTTCGCCGTGGTATTTAGTTTCTGTGAGGGTAAATCTACTGTTTTTTCGTTGTCCTAGGCCTGTTGCTCCTTAGATCATTTAAAAATTTGATACAATAAAAACCCCAGCACCTTTTCTACTAATGGTAGATCCAAGCTTTTGGCACAAGAGGTCCTAGCATGGAGAGACTCAACCATCTTCTCGTGCTGAAACGGGCGGGAAAATACGCTGTTTGATCCAGTCTCTTTTTGAGATCAGTGATTTTTACTCAAAGAAATCATCAAGCGTTGTGGCATTTACCTACCTCCCATTAACTCTCGACAGAGAAAAAACTTGTTAGGAGAACTTTGCACAGTGGATGCAAGCCTTATCTTTTTATTTAATAAAAGTTTGCAAGAAATTAAGGTGTCCCTCAAGACAGCAACCTATTCTACACTTAGAACTGGATATTAACAACTGTTAGATTCTATTTTCATTCTCTCTATTAAAGCGTTCATGTCGCACGAGCATAGGATCATCAAAGACATTTTCCGCGATCTGATGAACAAGGACATCAGGCCAAGACTTGAATTCAACACGAAAATCCGTGTTCTCCTAAACATCCGTCTTGTTCAGTTATTTGATGTGGTAGGTCAAAAATTTTAACTGTATTTTGCACTACAACTATAAGTAAAATTTTATCTCATCTAAATCTATTTCTATATCGATATTTGTACCTCATTGTAAATCTTTGATGGTTCCTATTTAATGAAGCTTTACTAATTCTTTAAAATAAATTCAAATCTATTTAGATTTAATCTAAATCTTAACCTAATTTAAATCTACTAAATCTGATCTAAATCTAATCTGAATCTAGATCTAACTTTGAATCTGATCTGAATCTAATCAGTCTAACCGAAATCTCAATCTCATTCCACCAACACATCTTTGTCTTCATCTATACTATACATCTATATACGCCACTATCTAGTGTATAGAACAGGGAGGTTAAAAACAGCAGCCTGAAGTTTAACCCCTAATGCAGAAAATTGCGTGCAGCTCTGCCTATAGATTAAGGACAACGGCATCAGGAACTGTATCAAAGACCAGCAATTAGAATTCAATACATCTATTTCTATTTGTTTATCGATATCTCTACGACTCTAGCAACTATGATTCTATAGCAATTTTATTTTCGAACTTCCTCTTGTCTGCAGATATCAAGGGTAGCTGACGGCTAGGCTAGTGACCCCTCATTTGATCTTAATTAGGTAAGGTTCTCATCGCATGCAGGAGCGGATCCAGACTATAGCAACTGTAGCTCGAGCTATAGTCAAAATCTCAGTGTTTGATTTTCGGACTTCACATTTGAAAACAGCGGTATAGGTTATCAAATGCGATTAACAAACATGCACTGCTGGCAATGTGTCATCACAATGCCTCTCCAGATAAGATATAAAACACTGAGCGCAGAATGGTCTAATATTAAAACTTAGACGAATCAGAAGTTTCGTTCTTTGTTGACAGTAACCAACCAGAATTGAGCTACAGTGGATATTCCGAGCTATAGTCAGTCTGGGGATTTGCTCTGGAAAAGGCATCGAAGACAATGAAACCCGTACTATAATTTTTGGCGCGAGCTATAGTCAAGCTATAGTCAGGTTTGAAAATGGCCTTTTAACCAATAGAATATGAGTATCCACGGTACATCTCCGCTCTCTGTCCCCTGTAAAGCAACAGTGGACTATAGCTCGTCTTTACATCCTGGGTCCCCTGTAATGTAGCTTCAAAGGCAAGGACCTACTAGGGAATAGTGTTAGAACACAGGGTTCCCATTCATTGCAGGACATCACATGACAATTGCATCATTGCGCTGCAATTGCATCAGCTTCTGTAAATTGTATTATTCTTAGGGTATATAAGGGGTGGCTTTATAGTTAGGTTGAGTCTTGCCGTAAGCTTTGTCGAACTCAGTGTACCTTGTCGCTAGCTTGAAGAATTGTGTTTGCCGTTACATTGTCGTCGTTAGCCGTTTAAGATTTCTTTAGTCGTTTGACGTGAACTGATGAATTAGAAGAAGTGTATAGAGAATTGAATAACAGTTTTTGCCGTATTTATCGTGTACGTTTCTGCGAACGACCTGCGAACTCACATTTGTAAAACCCCCTTTTTAAGTGGTTTTACATTGGTTACCCCGTGTGAGGACAGCCGAGCCGAAGGAACAGAAGATGAGCACTTATCGATACCTGCGAACCACAGACGACCAGCCGATTTGCAATTACTGCAAAAGAGTGGGACACGTGGTCAAATATTGCAGAAGACGCCCGTTGAAGCAGCAACCATTGCAAGGTAAAGCTTCTGTGCCTGTGAATGCAAAAATGGGCCCAGTTTTTGAAGCCGAAATTCGGACAAGAATGACAACCCAAACCACAACTGAACCCTTCGTTGCTCTGTGCAAGTTGTTCCGCATGTTAGAAGACATAACAAAGGAGCTTGCTAACTTGATGAAAGAGCAATTGGGCCAAACAATAGCGTTCGACGAGGCAGAAATTTTCAAAACGCCCCTGACAACGATATTCAAAGAAATGACGTCAATCGCCGATGTACTGTTAGCCCCATCACATCTGTGCAGATCATCATCACCATTATTCTCATTACCAAAAACGAAAGAGTTTCAAGGCATGTTGCATAAATGCGAAGAAGGAACGCCACAAGAAGACCAAGCCAGGAGGCTTGTTTTCAAAGGAGGGGGCTATGTTAGAACACAGGGTTCCCATTCATTGCAGGACATCACATGACAATTGCATCATTGCGCTGCAATTGCATCAGCTTCTGTAAATTGTATTATTCTTAGGGTATATAAGGGGTGGCTTTATAGTTAGGTTGAGTCTTGCCGTAAGCTTTGTCGAACTCAGTGTACCTTGTCGCTAGCTTGAAGAATTGTGTTTGCCGTTACATTGTCGTCGTTAGCCGTTTAAGATTTCTTTAGTCGTTTGACGTGAACTGATGAATTAGAAGAAGTGTATAGAGAATTGAATAACAGTTTTTGCCGTATTTATCGTGTACGTTTCTGCGAACGACCTGCGAACTCACATTTGTAAAACCCCCTTTTTAAGTGGTTTTACAATAGACAGGGACGGCGGAACGACCAAGCGGCAAGAGGGGGGGGGAGGGGGGGCAGGCTTGAGTAAAAAGGCTTTTGAAAGATAATTCTCAGCTTCTACAAATTCATATGTAATTTTATTATCTGTAGGTATCTTCAACATTGGCTAACTTTCGGCACAAGGAATTATTTTACATGTTTTGAGAAGTTCAGAATTTCATACGAATCTCTCTGATTATTACAATTGGCCAGTTTCAAGGGAACTTTATTAAAAACAACCCTTGCCCCTTCTGCCAAAGGGCAACAGGGGCGGTTGTACCCCCACACCCTCTTCTCTGGCGTCCCTGGAAATAGAAAAAGGATGTTCGAAGGGATATTTATGAATACGAAGCAACTATAAACACACATGGTTTATCATTTGCCCATATAGTGGGCGTGTCTCGCAAGCAAGGAGGGCGTGGTTCCGATCCCAAAAGATTTGAGCTATAGTCACCAAAAATCCTGGATCCGCCCCTGGCATGTGCTTCTTTCACCTCAAAGGGGCCCCGAAATGTGAAGGCCATTGGCAGTCAAGCTCATACGATGTTAGCGACAAGGCCCATTTTGATAGTAACACGGAATGAGGAAGAAATTCTATCTGTAGCAGTAGAAACGAAAAAACAAAAATTACAAGCCGTTAGAATATCGTTGAGTTTTCAACAGAATCAAAGGAATAAGCACCAAATTTGAAAGATATTGTAGCACTAAGGTTGTTCTCTCCAAGTACTTCGCCCTAATAGAGATCCACCCCCGGTCAAAAATCAAGGGATCTGCTGGAAAACCGCAAAGTTCGAATTTTGGCGAATATTTTGACGTCGAGTTTTGCGCAACTTGAGATGATTATTTAGTGATTAGAATGAATCTTTTTCAGGATGCAGTTGGCCAAACAATCAAATTGAATGTTTGGACGACACAGGTAATATCATTTTGTCTTACTGAATGCTAGGCAATAAATGCAATTATATCAATCCACAAGTTCACATTACAATGTAAGTCTGTGAAATGTATGAAAAATGAGTTGTAGATTTATTTTGAGGCTCCAGAAATAAAACAAAAATAAGATAATAATCTGAAATCTTTGCAAAGCGCGCGGCCGCTAAGACGTGGCGGTAAACAGTTGAACCTTGATGATGAAGAAAGAGGCAAAGATCTTTTCCACGATCTTTGATAGAATAAGGCTATCAATTTTTAGTAGATAGAATAAGGCAATAAACGAATATAAGAGTGCGGACGCTACTCTCATCTGTCGCGTTGATCTTGGGCAACTTAAGGCCCGCGGGCCACATCCGGATCTTCGGGCGCTTCTGCCCAGCCCCCGCGAGTGTACGGCCAATCATAACATGAATGAAAATATTATAAAATTTATGTTGTGATATTCAAGATATACAATTTTTCTACTTTTATTATAAAAATCATGTCATTTTTTGACAAATTTTTTGTAGAAGTATTTTTCTACTTGATCGACAGCATACTTTCATATATGTATTTAGATATTGACGCGATATCTAAATATTTCAGGTAGTCAGTAACAGTTGTAAAAAAATCACGAGGATTATGAAAAAACCAGAAGTTTTGATGTGTTTTATAATCCATGAAAATCTATCCTCTCATGAATAAAATATTCATTGTAATCCAATTGATAATCTAGGGATAGCTTGCTAGAAAAAAAGATTACTCACCATATTCTTACAAGGTCAACTGACATCAAATATAAAACAAAAAACAAAATATGATTTTGACAGGAATGGACAAATCCTCTGTTGGGATGGCAGCGAGAAGACTATGGAAACATTAGCATTGTTAATGTCGAACCAACTATGGTATGGACCCCAGTCTTGATGCTCTACAACAAGTGAGTATAGGCACATTAAAGCTTGACTGGAATCATTGCACCTTACAACAATGGAATCAATCCACTACATAGCAATGAAAATAAAGACCTAATGTACAAGTTAAATTATCTAAAGAGTCAATACTCAAATTGGGGAATATTTTTCTGAGAATTTTTCTCGAAACAAAGTCTTGGCTCTGAAAGAACTTTCAGCCTAATCGTGACAACTTTCAACCCATTGGCTTCAAGTGTCTTTAGTTTTAAGATCGATAAGCATAGCCTTTCATTGTCCTAAGGATGTCAGCTAAAAACTATCTATTTTTGGATGCTAGCCAAAAACAAATAATGTGGCAAAGAAAATAGATATTATTGAAATATTTTATGTTTTCAAATATTAACATACTAAGAAATAGCATTTTCTCAAGTTAAGTAATATCAACTTCGATTTTATGGCACTGTGCAGTTTTCGCTATATGAATGCATGCCTTTCTAGCGCTGACAACAAGATGACCAGCCTGAAAGCCTCAAACACCAAGGTGATAGTCAACAGCTCAGGATACAGCACATGGTTTGCAGCTACATCCATGAAGGCTTCGTGCAAAATCAACGTGAAATACTTCCCTTTCGATCAACAATTATGTCATTTGAAATTCGGGTAAGAAGTTTTAACGTGGCACAAACAGCAGAAACATAATATGTGTATCTGAAGTACAGTAAATTCGATATCTCAAGCCCCTGATATCTCGAACTGTGGCTAGCTCGAACCACTTCTCTAATACAAGGCACCGCGGAGCAGGGGGGGGGGGTGTTGGGGGCTTTAGCTTTTTGCAAAAAATGCCAAATATTAAGTATCAAACTACCAGAAAAGCCTCTTTTTATACGGTTTTTTAGCCCCCCCCCCACTTTTTAGACCCCCCACTTTACTCAACGCTCCGCGGTGCCTGAATACGTTTGAAAGCCTGATACGTCGAAGCATTTTCAGCGTTTCCTGGGGGCTCGAGCTATTGATATTTTACTGTACCTAGAAAATTCAACCCCCGTGCGGGTCAATAGTAATGGCGCGTTTCATTCGTTTGAGCACGCATTTACACTTAGAGTAGAGTAGAGCAAAGCAAAGTACATTGATAACGGTACTGAACAAATGCATACAAACGCACACGCTTTATTTGACAACGCAAGTTGAGTGTTCAGCAGCCTTTTATTGATACTTGACGGCACTCGACAGTGAGGCGCTAGATGTCTAACTCACAGGTACGCTGTGAGGCAAATTTGTTTACTTCCACCATTTTGAATAGTGGCAAAAAGGAACTTGCTCCATACTGAGCCCTTATAAATTTGGTAAAAGTAAGTATTGATTTCGTTCAAATCTCTTATTCGAATATCGATGTGAAATTTGGTGAGTGGCCTAATACTGTACTTAAATTTATGAATTGATGTTAATATTGGAAATAAAAGCCGAATTTTGCAAATTCCAAGTATTTACAATCGCGGTGCTTGCTGTGGTGTTTTCTGTCTCGTCGAAATTCCAGAAAATAATGATTGATCTATTTTAAAATGGATCCAGCAACAGTGTTTAGACACTCAATGCATAATTTTATTAACACATTTGTACAAAGATGTGATTTAGTTTCTTTTTCTTTCTTTGTTTACAGAAACTGCTATGAAATATCTAGGCCTTAATCTAGAAAAAGCCGAGAATGGGTCATAATTCAAGGCTTGGATATTGATAAAAGAATTCAAATATAGTAAACAATTTTTAATTTGATATAATTGTTTATATCTTAGACTAATTCAAGGCCACACTCGTTGCTTGTAATTATTCTTCAGCACAATGCGTCCCTCCCCGTATCTTTAGGCCTATGAAATATTCACGACTTCGGTGTACATTTTCACGACAAAGATTACTAATTTGGCCTTATCAAGAAGAAAGAAGTTTAATTCATATCAAATTTCATTTCTACAAATTCAATTTGACAAACTATGTTTAAAAAATTCGCACTTTCCTACTTATGCCATATTAGGTTATAAACGACAGACAGAAAAACTCAAGAATTATATATTTAAAATGGTCTATATTATTAGGTAATAGACTCAAAAGGCTCTTTCTCATTTATATGAAGATAAAAATTGCAAGCACATACTTTTTCAACTCATAAAGACACGACAGGACACTGCTATATTCCCCCCGTAACTGCGTAAACTAAAAAAGACCATATTTTTTAAAATTCTGTTTAAAAACCCCAAAAAATTGTTATGCGTTGTTGATTTATATCTCCTCTAACTACCTGAATCAGAAAAGGCACTGAAATAGTTTTGAGGCACGAGAAAATCAGTCCTTAAAACAAGCAATTTTCCATACTGAACCCCATTGCAACTCGCTTTTTGCCACTATTTAAAATGACGGAAGTAAACAAATTTGCCTCACTCGGCAGTATAGCTGCAGATTGTACCAACTTCAAATAAAACCCTAATCATTGAAACCGGACTTTCTAAGACCCTAATCTGCATAGAGCCTATCAAATACATTTGCTAAAACAACAAGTGCTGAGGGGTCTTTCTCAAAGCTAAAGACGAACAAGATTGGTCAGCAACAGCTCAAGGGGCCCTAGCTTCTCTCAGCTAAAAACGAAACTGAGGCAAAAAACAGAAAGTAAAACAAAAATGTTTAAACAGCTTGCCTCGTGGAACGTTGGAGGTTTAAAACTCTTTGCAAAAATAGACTTTTTTGGAAACAGGTCAGAAAAAAGGCTGGAATTGAATTAATTAAAATAAAGACTGAAGTAAGGGATATCTTATCAAGTTCATTTTGAGTTAACACGTTATGCTAAGTTTGCATCAAGTTTGTGGAAGGTTTAGCTGAGGAGAAGGGCAGTAAGAGTTTAGCTTTTGCTGGACCATGAAAGTCATCACATCACATTTTGGGAATAGTTCAAACTAATTTGAGTCGTCACACCATTTGCCATGTAGCAGTCGGCATATTTCACACTGTTGCCCCACCTGAAATTTTATGCAAAACCGCCACTGCAACAGGCAGCAAAACGAGAAATTTTATTTGGACAGACGAAAAAACAGCTTTGCTGTTGAGAATTGTTCTCGATTATCAAAGCAAAAAGCTGGCTGATGCGCTAGACTGGGAGACAGTTCGATCAAAATATGAGAACGTCGCAGAACGATTTGTTGAGGCCTATCCATACGAAGAAAATTCGGAAGAATTTCCCAGGAAAATAGCCTCGTTTTCTAACCGTACCTATCATTGGTTTAGGCCTGATCCAGGTGTTCACACGGGAGCCAAGTGGATCGGACCCGAACGAGCATGCTTTTTATCCGTACCAGTCTGGTACGCATAGCAGACCCAGACCAGATCGGATAGAAGTGTCGGACCCAAACGGATCCGCTCTAGTGTGACGACCAGTTTGGGAGCGGACCCAAATGAATCCACTCTCGTGTGCACGTGGTCTTGAAATGAAATACAAAGTTATCCTAATCGAAATATTTAAAATACATAGTAACTTGAATTACAAAATTTATTTACCTTACAAGATTTCTTTATCCATGAACCAAGAGACCCTCGCCCACCATGCAAACCTACCTTTACAGTGCTTTATTTGCATTGATCGTCCAACTACTTTTTTCAAATAATTTACAAAAGAATTATAAAGCTATTGAAATTCTGCACTTCACACGCCCCGCTGCTTGTTCTCCTATTTATAGTTTTTTTGAAGCCTTGAATGCTGAACTGGAGAGCGACCTGCGGGAATTTTGCGAAAAGGCAGCAATTTGCACTTTCGGCGCTGAGCTCGACAAAAATAACAAAAAAAATTTGGAACAGCAAAACTGGTTATATATATAATTCTTTATACAAATCCGATGCAATGCGAAATGGTTACAAAAACTTTCAATTCCGTTACGATCAATATCTCACTCGCTAAAATTGGCACTCTTTAACTAAATTCGCAATCTGTGCTCTCAAAGCACTCCATTGAAAAAACCGAACTACTCTTCAACCCTGTTGCGCGACTCTGCTCCCAAATTCTAAACTATAAGCAAATATAATTAAGTGCATACAAAAGGGAGGAAAATCTTTTCTCCTCCAAAAACGATAACAATTTGAAAGCAAGTGACAGTGCAAAAAGCCAATATTAGAGTGCATTATAAACCTTAGTTACAGCTAATTAGATAATGCATACGTAAAAAGCAGAATAACATGAAAACAGCATGCCTGGGAAACCTTTTCAACAGGAATTGCTTAAGGTGGATTTCCTCTTCACAGTATGGTCAAACGGTACGAATTCCGTGGAAAAAAGTTGCCTTGATTTCAACTTTCTAAAACGGAAAGCGGTACGGTAAGCGTACCGTTTTTGAATGTCAAAATATGTTCTGCGCATGCTGGTACCGTATACCGTTTCCGGTCCATACCGTGAAGAGGAAATCCACCTTTACACAAGATTTGAAAGCTGTGCACCTCGTAGGCCTATACATTGTACTTGTCTCCCTACCTATCGCCAGGGCCGTCGCTAATCACTTTCACTTAGGTGGGTGCCAGTCACAAATTTGCCGACAAAATAGGGCGTGTCCTACGGTATTTCAATTTTAGGGTGTGGTATTTTGACGCAATTGATTTTGTTTATCAAAGAGTATGTTCTCGTTAGTCAATCATCGCTTCAATTTTCGAGTGACTGTGCGTACTTAGTTTGCATGAGTAGATCTTACTAATATTTTTATAGGCATAGAAGGTAAAAACTTAAAAACCAATATGTGAAAAAAAGTATAAAATCCAAAATAGAAAAATGAGAAAAAAGGAGATAAGGAGTAGTCACTACCACCTGGTTACAGCCTCAAACTCCGATGGGGGGTGGTTGTGTATGCCCTTGTATGTTTTAAGCAACTAGCTTGTAAGTGGGCAGAAAATGATAAAAAAGCAACTCATCAGCCACAAACCCATGGGGACATTTCAGGGCTTTAATTCGGTATGTCCATTTCTCGTAGGCGCCCCTCGCAATCCTGCGTCCAGGATCACGGTTGCAAAGGTCAGGAAATACAAATAAAAAATATATATATTATAAAGATCAACAAAAAGTAGCAATCGACACAGAGTGCTTACTAAAGTAGGACTGTATAACGTGTATGGAGGCATTTAAATTGAGTGGGTGAAGAGGATAAACATGGTACGGCGTGGCTTTGGGAATAAAGGGCTGGGAGAAATGGGAAGGGTTAAAAGTATCACCTGTGTATAACAGCATAAAGTAGGAGTTGGCGGGGTTGGGTGTGGCTATGGGAAGGGCGTGCCAAATGGGTTGGGTAGAGGAAGAAGAGGGTACCTGATCTGGGAATGGGTTTATCACATTTCCAAAAAAAATGCAGTACTTGTCTTGTTACAGGGTACAAATGCAATCTTTTATAAGCTCTCTGCTTACCATATTTCTTTCAGCCAAAACGCTTTGGTAATGGCTCGAGCCCTATGGGCTTTCGTACAGAAATATCATCTTTTGGTGGTACAAAACTTGTAAATGGCTTTGAAAAAAGCAAACATTTAGTAAACTAAAGCTTTTCGTCTGACACTCTTCAGAGTTTAAAACGTCAGAACATAGATCGAAAACTCTACGCTAAGAAATATATATACCCAGTTGTGGATCGAAATAGGCCAATCAGAAACACGAGCACATGACTGTAAAGGTTGACCAATCAGTGCCGCTTGCCTATTAGAGTGTCCTTAAAGGCCGTTTTCCACTAGGCGAATTTATTCGCGCGAAGCGACTTTTTTCGAGCATACGCATGCGTATTTAAATTCTCGCACAGAAGCTCATTCGCGGTGACTGTTCGCAGCAGCGAAAAAGTGAGTTCGAATGGATTCAACTTTTTCGCGGCGAAGAAAGGCGCAAGCCAATTAATTTGCTGGAAGCCTGTCATGTGACATCCATGACCAAAAGTCGCGCCAAAACAACAGCAGCAGAAAGAAAACATGGCTGCAATGACACTGAATCTCTTACAACAAATGATGGCAAATGGAGACATAACTGTGGCTGACCTTGCCAGTTTAGCAAATACCAACAGTCAACAGGAACTCTACAACCACGAAGACAATGCTGCCACGCCAGGCTCCGTTGATGAGACAGGTTTTGAGGAGACAGAGACGATCGTCTCTGTTGTCACCACCACCCCCGAGAACAACCTACAAGGCCTAGACCAGTACAATGGCGAAGAACTACTTGCAGCTGAATTCGACAAAGAAGTATTTTTGGAAGAAGTCCGCAAGTACAGATGTTTGTGGGATATTGCTTCCGAAGGATACAAAATTAGGCCCATGAAGCAAAACGCATGGTCAAAAATAGGCCAGTTATTCAACAAGGACGGTGAGTTCACACCTTTTTTTTATATTCTCATAAAATTTACAACGACAATCAATTACAATACACAAGCCTAGGGAGCAAGGAAATGCATACCAACCCTAAGACCTACACTTAACATAGAGACACAAATATTACAATAGTAAGCTACAGAAGTGAGTGGAGTGGTGTCGCCCATCGTTCCAATAGCGTTGCAGATATGACAAATACTCACAAAAAGCTATTTTAAAAGGAGATATCAAGTTTACCTATGTTCCTTGCTAATTAAACAAATTTGCGCCCAGACATGATGATTTATACAGTTCGAGAAAATAATTTACACGAGAGAGGTTTTCACAGCTTGTGGTTTTCTTTTTGTCCCCCAAACTGATAACTCTCATAATAATAATCTAATGATTCTAAGAGACTTTCTGTGCTGGACAAAATTCTTAGTTTGATGATATCTTTTAGAATCTTGTAAATAATATTATTTGATTTCTTTTTTTGTAGTGGAATTTCTTCAGAGGCATCTAAAAAATCTAAAGGACAACCTGAAAAAATGTTTGGACAAGAGGAACCGGATGACTAGGTCTGGTGCTGCTGCAAGTTCATTGACTAAATGCAAGTACTTTGAACAAAT